TCTCTTGAATACATTTCCTTGACAAAATAGCTTTAAAGATTATTTTTATATAGAGCTAGCAAGGACTTCAATTTTAGCACACTACGAGCAAAAGTAAGTGTTCAGTCTCCAATGCCTTTTTATGGATAACTGTGCTGACAAATTCAGATAAAAATGGAACATGTAAATAATAAAAACATGCTTTATGAACTTCTGTTAGCTTTTCATAATTTTTCAGATGAACACAGACATCTTATTGCTTTAATGTTCATTTTTTTAGTTTAACATCAGCTCTATACTATTTCTACTGCCATTCCATTGCCAGGGCCATACTTAGATTAGATATCATTTTATCGTTCTTTTATAGGATTTCCACTGAAAATTTATATAACTTTTTTCCTTCAAAAACAAATCCTTTGTATGCAGAAGAGAACCTATGTTCCTGACCCCTCTACAGAGGTAGTGTGTAATCAAAAGGTATTTGTAAGATAGCATTAGTGTCCGTTAAAATTCTTTCTGCTATAATATGAATAATTAGATATGAAAGTACATAATTTCAGTCTTGATCAAGACACCTGATGTTCTGGTTGAAATTATGTGAAATACACTTGAAATGAAGAGCGGGTTTATATATTTAACTATTAAATGTACTACACTGAAAAGTGTGAAGTCTCCAATTCCCTTCTATACTTATGCCCAGCATATGTCTTATCTCAAGACATCAATGCTGCACAGTGACCAACATAACAAATACATAAAAATTCCCATAATAGTACTATTATTGCATTTTTCAAGGTCAGTCGTTTCTGTAGAGTGGATTTATAGGCACTTTTGATATATATCAGAAGGATAATACCAGCAGCAGGGAGCAGCAGCCCAGCATGTATTTGTCAGGAAGCAGCTGAAGCCAGCCACAGTGACACCTTGTCTGGCCGAGGTTTGGGGTCGGACTCATGGTACCAGCAGCTGAGGAATGCCGCCGTAACCCTCATCTTGGTCGCTGGCCCAAGAAACTTGGTGGGGACCAGCTTGCAAATCTACCAGCAGTTGCCCCCATACAACGGGTGGGCCAGTGCACACGGTAACTCTGATCCTGGATACCACTAACTGTAGTTTTTCTCCAAATCCTTCATTAAAACTTCACAGAATCACAGAATCAATTAGGTTGTAAAAGACCTCTCAGATCATCCAGACCAACCTTGCCAACTAGACTTGAATGCCACGTCCAGTCTTTCCTTAAACACCTGCAGGGATGGTGACTCCACCACCTTCAGGGGCTGTCCATTCCAATGTCTAATCACCCTGCGAAGACATTTTTCCTAATGTCCAACCTAAACCTTCCTGGCTCCTCATGCCCGTTCCTGCTAAACATCCTCGGACCCGTCTAGCTGGAGTGTGACTGCCTTGCTAGGGGCTGTCTTGCTCGGGGGCGAAACGCCGCCCCTCCTCGGATCCCTGGCATGGCGCGGGCACAGGAGGAAAAGCAAACACGGCCCTACCTACCGAACCCCGCTTCCCAGGGCGCTGTTACCGGTGTTCCCCGCTCGGGCCAGCCGGGGCTTGGGAGGGCAAAGCGCTGTTCCCCGGGGTGCTGAAGGGCAAACCGCTGTTCCCCGGGGTGCTGAAGGGCAAACCGCTGTTCCCCGGGGTGCTGAAGGGCAAACCGGCGCTGGGGAGCAGCGGGACGGCTCGTGGCTCCTGGGGCTCCCCCGCGCGCCTCACCCCCACCGCCAGGGCACGGGGCGGTGGCTCCCCGGACATCACCGAGGAGGGGAAGCCGCACTCCCGCTACCCCCGGCCAAACACACAGCGCTGCCCCCGCGCCTCCCGTGCCCCGGCAGCGGGGCCGGCGCCCTCACCTCCGCAGGCGGCGCCTGCCGCAGGCCTCCTGCTCCGCCGCCATGTCCGCGGGCGGGCGGCTGCGCGCTGGCCCCGGCAGTGCCACAGCGCCGCCGGACTCCGGGCTCGGGAGGCCCCGCTGTGGGCGGGGGGCCGGCGCGGGAGGTGCCCCCGGGCAGAGAGGCCACGTCCCGATGTATCAGAAATAGTGTGGCCAGACGACCAGGGAAGTGTTTTTCCCTCTGTACTTGGCACTGCTGAGGCCGCACCTCAAGTGGTGCGTCCGCATCTCAAGTGCTGTCCAGTTCTGGGCGCCTCAACTCAGGAAGGACACTGAGGTGCTAAAAAGAGCCCAGAGAGGGGTAATAGAGCTGGTGAAGAGTCTGGACCACAAGTCCCATAAGCAGCTGGGGTTGTTTAGCCTGGAGAGGAGGAGGCTGAGCAGAGACGTTACTGCTCTCTACAACTACCTGAAAGGAGGTTGCAGCCTGGATGAGGGGTTGCCTCTTATCCCAAGCAACCAAGTGATAGGATGAGATGTCATAATCTTAAGCTTCATCAGGGGAGGTTTAGGTTGAACATGAGGAAGAGTTTCTTTACAGAAATGGCAGTTAGATGCTGGAATGGACTGCCCAGGGAGGTACTGAAGTTACCGTTCCAGGAGGTGTTTAAGCAAAGACTGGACTTGGCACTTAGTGCCATGGTCTAATTGGCATGGTGGTGTTCCGTCAGTCGTAGGTTGGACTTGATGTTCTCATGAATCTGTGATTCTGTTGTCAGAGGGCTGTGGTGAGTGGTGGGTGTATTCAGTGGGGTCTCCAGTGCTGTCCTCCAGGGCTGCCACAGGGTGAAAGCATTCTGGAGAGGGCAACAGGTGCAGAAATAACTTGCTTTCACGAGCAGCCTCAGGTGTGAGTGCACAGCTTCCGTGGAGACTGCCAGCACGTTTTGGTCATGGGACTGGCATCTGACATGGCCATGGGCTGAAAGGGGCACCACAATGCTGCCCTGGGGCCCCTGTGCAGAGCATGGCCTTCCTCCAGTGCCCATCTCTGTGGTGAAGGGAGCCCTGCCATGCTCCCCTTAGCCCTGAGATGAATGAAAAATAGGTGGTATTCATGTGATTTTAAACATTAACCTCAGTCGTGACATGGTCCTTTTTAAGCAAACACAGCTTGGGAAAGGCAGTGCGACACACCAGGTGAGTATCAGACCTAAGGCTAATGGAGAGCAGAAAAAAACATTGTAAAACTTCTCTTTTTCAACATGGTACTGTACTGCTTTAGGTATAATCAGCTCATCTTTTGGATGACACATGGAGCTGTGCACATGGTTAAAGAAAAAAACTATTATGAAACTTAACACAGTTGCAGCTTTTGGATCTAATGAAGTGTGATGGAGATATCAGATTATGCGTCAACATCTAAAATTTGATGTGTTTTAGTTGAAGCAAAGGTATTTGTCATTGCTTTCCTCTTTCACATATGTTTTACATAGGTGTTCAGAATGATTAATACTTACAGAATTTTGACTCTACAGCAAATGTACAGGTAATGCTGGGGTTTATTCTCAGATGCAGTAAAAAGTCAGTATGTTTTTTTTAATACATGTTTTGGGGTTTATTCACTAATGAGACCTGTGTTGCCCTCTGCTGTCAGTAATATGACTTTACCTACCTGAACTTGACAATATGTTTCAGCAAGAATATTGTATACTGCAGACATATCTCTTTTTCCCTATTTTCACATAATGAACATCACCAGTTCTAATCACAAAGGAAAAAAAAAGTCATGCATTGTTGTATAGGATGTAAAAAAATCAGAAATTGGTTAATTTATTAAATTATTGTACTGAATCAGGTCATCAGTGCTCATTACTGAGTGGTCTCAAACCTTTCCTTGCTAGTGATGCAGTGGATACATTTTACACTGATAGCTGAAGAACCCAAAAAAGTGCTAATTCTGTTTAATACTTAACTCACAATGTGTTTGTGCCAAGCTCACAAATTTATCTCTGATTGAAGGCGTGCAATGCAATGCATCTCTGATGCAATGGCTAGCCCTGACTAGCTAGAGGCCACTGTTGCAGCCAGGCTTCCTTTTTGCCTTGTCTTTGTGGCTCACACAGCAACAAAGTGTGGGACAAAATCTATCCCCAAGAGTTTTATGAAACAAGAGATGAAGAATTTGAAGCATGACATGAAGCATGTTCAGAAATGGCACACTAACATACTAGCAGAACAGGATCAGAACCTTCCAGGTCCAAATATGGAGTGTCATCCAATGGTCTATCTTAAATATTTTGAAGTATTTATGCAGCATTCATATGTCATGAACTCAGCAGCAACTATCATTGCAATATTCAAGAGTTAGCAGTTTAGTTTCAGTTTGGGGCTCCCAGGATAGGGCTTTTGAATGATAGCTTTCTTTAGTCTTTCTCTATTTGTATGGTTGTGAGCACAGTACATATAGGATTCTTCATGCCCTCAGCTGGAAATGCCTTGCCTACTGCAAAGGCACAGAGCTCCCTTGGCAGGAAGGCACAAAAAGGAATGTGACTTGTTCCTCATGATTAGCCCTCCTTTGAGCAGGGATCAAAGTGGAGGGTGTCCCTCTTGGAGGTGTGTTCCTCACTCAAAGAATTGCTTGGGCATCGCCATTAAATGTTCTTCGATCTAAGGAATAAGGGATCATTATTCCAGTTTCCCATTTATAGAACAGATTCAATGATTTTTTCTCAATTCCCTATGAAGTAAACCAAATCAAAACAAAAATAGAATTAAAATTATATGCTCATTAAATTCATACATATGTGTATATGTGTGTAAGGATATATATGTACATCTTTGTGTTTGCATGGTTTAACAGGATAATATCAGTGGTACTCTAACAGTGACAACTTCCTTGAGACTTCAGTATTGGCAGTGATAAATATCTGCTTCTCTAAAAACATAGGCTTCTATTCAACAGAGTGAGATATTCTGCCAGCTGATAAAGTATTAAGTATCCACAGAACTAGTTGGAAAAATGTTGGTCATTGTCTGTCATAAGGTTCCTGTAAAGAATAATATAAGTTTCAAATAAGCTTCCATATTTTTTTCCCTAAAACAATGGTTCTATTTAAAGAAAAAAAATCAAAACAAAGTGCTTGGCTATTATTTATTCATAAAATTACTGTTTATATTTTTTTTTATTTTAAAAATTATGTCATATCATGTCATAACATTCATTTCATGGTTCACCACTGTAGTTCTTTCTGGAGACCTTTCTTCAGTTTAAGGTTTATTCGTTTGAAGGTGGTTATCGTGCCAATAAGTCTGAATTTATATTGATTTTTTTGGGAAAGGTCATTAACCCTTCGAGCCCGCGCAGTGGATTTTTTAGGTGAGACACAGTGTGCGCTGAACTGAGCCCACCCTTTTTAATCCTGAGGTTCATCTGCCGGGGCCGAGCACGCTTGGACAGTGGCAGTGAGGGTCTCAGAACGTAGGTTTGTTTAGAGTGACCTTCTCTTAGATGGATTGCCTTACAGGGCTGACGAGCTCCATCTGCCCGGGGGGCCGGGAATCGAACCCGGGTCGCAGCAGTGGTTAAGGTGCAGGACTCTCACCGCTGCGACCCGGGTTCGATTCCCGGCCTCCCGGGCAGATGGAGCTCGTTAGCCCTGTGAGGCAATCCATCTAAGAGAAGGTCACTCTAAACAAACCTACGTTCTGAGACCCTCACTGCCACTGTCCAAGTTTCACTCGGCCCCGGGCAGATGAACCTCAGGATTAAAGGGTGGGCTCAGTTCAGCGCACGCTGTGTCTCACCTAAAAAATCCACTGCGCAGGCTCGAAGGGTTAATGACCTTTCCCAAATCTTCGCTCGCGAAGACTGGCCATTATTATTTTTTATTATTATTATTATATTGATTTTAGAATTCCCAGAAAAAAAAGCCCAAGTCTATCTATGATATAGGAATATGATCATGAAAAGGCTCCCTACCTTTCTGCTAGCAAGTGAGGAAAAATATAATGTGAACACTATGAGGTGAATGATAATGAAATGAAATGAAATGTTTTAAACAGTCATCTGTTCCTCCATCCTTAATGATACATGGAAGAGAATCCTACACAAATGTCGTGTCCATAGGCTGTGAAAGTCCAAGAATTGGGCCATACTTTGGGACTTGGACAGATTTCATTCTGTGAGAGTACCTCCCATCACAGCATTTGGAGTGTGTTGATTCACACAAAGTATAATGTCTTGGGTGGCTGTTCATTTCTAGAGTCACTTTCACGTGTTTAGGCTCTGATCCAGTTCTGAGAGGGAGATGGAAGAGACCCTGAATTTTCTCAGTCTGGCACTGAACTGATGCTGCTTATGTGTGATCAGATAAAACCTTCAACACCAAGCAGTGGATGACCTTGGCAGTAGTGCTGCTCAGCTCTCCTGGTACGGCTGTCCATGCTGTTTAATTCCATGTCCTGAGATCCCTGTGCATTTTCTGTAACACTGGAACGTCCTGAACTTAGAGAGGATTATGAGGATGATGCACATAAAGTTAACTGGGTAGCGTTAATGAGACATTTCCCATGTGTCTCCTGGCTCTTCCTCCTGGCAGGAATACCACTATGTGGTGGGGGTATCATGCCACTAGGAAGACCTGAAATTGCATTGCCAAGAGTATCTGTGAAGAAATTCTGCCAGGGTCAGTGGAGTGTTACAAAGCCATCTGAGTAACTTGCTTAGTTAAGTACTGCAGAGTAATTCACTTGAGAGAAATTGAGGTAAACATCCATGTCTCTCCGTGTCTCCTTTTCTGCTATGCATACACAGTGAACCAATCTGATGTTAGCTAGTCAAATATGAATTTGTTGTGACAGCCCTGGGGTTTTTTACATACACACAGTGCCCTTGAAATAGTAACTAGATGTTAAAGAACAGAGCTCTCAAACTATGATGAACATGATTTAAATCCATTGACGCTTCTCCTGAAGGAACCAGCAAGCAGATCAACTACAAAGTGCCCCTGTATGACATGGTGGACAGCAATGTCAGTACAGGAAATACGGGACAAATACATGGGAAATGGATCTGGACATGGGACAAATACATGGGAAATGGATCTGGACATGGGACATTTACGTGCTTGATGTGCTTTTTTTGTCTTTTTCAGTGCAAGTGAGCATTCCAAAGGAAAATACAGTCATTCTCAGATCATTTTCCTTAAACGTATAAGCTAATTTGGAGCCACGGACTACATCTATGATATAAAGAAGATTATTTATTCCTATTCCATTACTTTGCAGTGATATACAGTTAATTTTCATATCCAATTTGCTTGCACAGTCATTCAGTATCACAAGATTCTTTGCAGACACCTTTCAGTTTGACTGTTTGAACCATAAAGGCAAACATTTTTATCTTGCTATTCCCACTCTGACACACATTTTCAATAGTGCACATAGTCAGGCCATTCTACAAGTCCCCTTTACCTTTAGAAAAGGTGACTTTTAACGTTCTGGAAGTTTCAAAGAAGAGAAAGAAAATTAGGACTGCCATATATTTACATCCTGAGTAGGAAGATGATGTTAATGAGTAACTCACTGTTAGTGAACATATGGCTTTCTTGAGTACAGTATATGTTCTAGCACTTTTAAAATCAGCTGTGAACATTACTGAGTTTAGAATAAAATTAGTGCTTGAGGGGAGAATGGTTTCTTTGTGGGTGAATTTGAAGTATATTGTTTCTGATTACTTTATGGCATGTACTTATAAAAGTTTTTTATCAGTATTTTGTACCATTTTATCATGTTTGTGACTTCCTTTTTTATGGTACTAATATAATTGTAAATTGAGTAATTTTTCAGGTGGGAAGACAAATCCTAATGCAGTACACAAAAATACCATGTATCAAATATAGCAAGAAAATATAACACTGCAGTGAATTAAAACGCAGAGATTATGATGACTGTAATAACCTGCAGTGAATAAAAATCCAGAGATTTAATGTTAAACTGCTATCAACATGAACTTAAGGCCAGGTTCTGATCGCCTGCTTTACGTGCCTCAGTCTAATTATTGACTCTACACCAGAGGTGTCCAGTTCAGCAAGCAGATTTTGGGCATCAGAAATGTTCCCTGATGTTCCCTGATGTTCCCTGTGTAGCCAGAATAAAGCAGTGGAGCAGGGCAGTCAGGTCTGGAAGATTTCAACTGCCTGAATGAGCTGCTAACTTTGCTATTGTCTGTCTACAGAACAATAGCAGAAAATTAATAGTAGAAAATTAAACATACCAACAAAAAAAAATGGGGCTTTTGCGAGTGAACTGCCTCCTGGGAATGATTCTTGGAGCATTTGGATTCCCAAGCTCTGCCTTGGAATCATTTGAGGAAGAGGTTGGACTTGGGCCCTGTTAGACCATGTCTGGGGAGCTATTCAGTGCTCCTGCACACCATCCAACTTGTTGGAGAAGCACCATCTTTTCATGGAAGTAAAAAGAAGTATATGAAGAAAAAAGGATTAAATGCTGTTTTGAAGCAAGTCTAGGGAAATATTCTATCAGCATCAAATACACTTTTTTTGTAATATATTGTATTATTCTACATAATATTTAGCTTTGAAATATTTCCCTTTCATTTGAAATGAATTAATAAAACACTCTAAATGTGGGATTTAAGTTAGCTTCAGTCTGAGAATCTAGAAAGATCACTTTTAAAATGATTTCTCAATTATGTCTGAAGAGAAGTTTTTTCTCAGGACTCTATTTGAAATAGAAATTGGTATAATGCATTACAGAAATGTTGAGAAATTGAGAGATTTTCAGATTGAGTATTGGGCTACTTCCTAAAAGAAAAAAAAAATTTAAAAATCACTGAATCCCTGTAGGCTGAATATTCACCAGCTAAATATTTCCCAAATAAAAATTAATCATCAGTGTTCTCTCTACAGTTCTATTATGTGCTCTTCCTGAAGAACTGGGGAGGGTCAGAGAGACTGTATGTCTAACTTTGTTGAAATCAAATTTTAAGGTCAGGTATTTGAGATGTTAATAACTATCAAAATTAGAAATTCGTTTCTATTAAAAATCTTTTGCTGTCATGAGCTTTAATGTAACAGTTACCCATATGACCAAATAAATTATTATTCACACTTTCTTGTTATTTAGCTTTTCATTAATATATTGTTATGAATTTCAACATCTCCAGTACATGCAGGTGTATGATTCTATAATTAACAATATAGCAATTATGAAGTAAATATAAACTCTTTTTTCAATACATAAAAATAACATCTAATAGCTGGAAAATGTTTTTAAGTTTCTTTCAATTGCAGGTTAAAAGAACATGCCTCTGCATTTCCATGTATTCATTGTTGACAAAATGTCTCCATTAGTTCTTTTTTCATTTAAAAAAGCGTTGATTCAAACCTTTTGTTACAACATTCAAGATTAAGTGATCACATCTGTTGAGTAGCTTTTGAAGGATGTAGTATAGATTTCGGTAATTAGCTAGAAGCTCTTTTTTTTTTTCCCATTAACTTGTAGGCAGAGTACTGTTTCCAAAGTGAATAAGTAGACTTATCAGACCTAAAAGTTACAAATTATGTTATCAAAGTTCAAGCCACTTGATTATAGCACACATGTAACATTCTCAAATACTACCAATGCAGTTTCCTTGCTGTCTAAAATAATCAAGCAGATAATGGATTTCACATTTCACAGTAATGGAAAACTGTCAGGAACATTTTGAGGCATTAATGGCTGTAGGCTTAATATGCCCTTTAACAGTTTTCATCTGAAGGAGAAACATGTAGCTTTTGCCCTGAGCGGTTCCATCTTTGGAATGAATGTTGCAAACAATAGCAGTTAATTTGGTGATGCGCTGATGTGGTTTATGTGACTGTCTATACAGAATGGATTTATTTGGGTGCTTCTGCAGAAGCTGTCTTTGAATTTATTCACAACAAAAAAAGGTTTCACTTTTGCTACTTAGATCTTATTATGCTAGATTATTATTTTTATTATCTGGTATGATGCAAACGATCTTGTATATGACAGTCCTTTGCAAACGAGAAAAAATTTCTGCATCTACTACAGAAAGAATTGAGGCAGCTATTGCAGTTTGTACTCATCTGTGCAAATAATTTTCTTACTTGTTCTCACCTCTGTGGCGTAAAGTAGGCTGCAGTCCAGATCTTTTGTTCCTGAAGGTCAGTACCTAATGTAAAGTTTCTTAAATGTTAATAATGGTCATTGTTTTTGCTCTTCTTTTCTGTACCAGTTGGTAACATCATCTGTTAATGATGAACATTAAATGCTTATAAAACTGTAAAGGGGTAATTTCTAAACAATGATTTGTGTGACTCAAAGACAGTGATGACAAATAAGGTATTTTACATGCTTTATTGGTAATGAAAATATTCCTCAAAGGTGTGGATCCACTTAAAACTTGCTTAGCTCCATAAAGAAGGAAATAAAGCTCCTCACTTTCTTCCTGCTTGTTCAGTAGGTGGAATATTTACCCGATGTCTATGACAAATTATTTGTCAATAGAATTACCTTATTAAAGTTTAGGGCTTGACATGTTTCAAAGACCACAGACCCAGAGGGGTAACAAAATTTGGGAGGAAGGGTGCGCTACTGCAGGAAGTCCAAGATAAGAAGAAGCTAACAAAGCCAGCTCAGCACAGCTCAGTAATAATAGAATAGTAAACACTGAAGACCACCAGGTCACCCAAGATAAGAAGCCAGCTCAGCAATAGTAGACTAGTAAACACTGAATATATATTAGATAAGTAGAATATATCAAGATTACAGTATATAAATAGTGGTCATCTTTTCTCCTTGGTGTGCTAACTTTGTGGCTTTGCCACCTAGCACCCATTTGCACAAATATAAAATAAAGAAATACATCAGCTCTGTGTGTGATTGGCTTACTGCACACCGGGTGATGAACCCTGATTTTTGGTACAACATACGCACTAAGTAAGAAGTTAAAATTATGTCACCAGAAGTAGCAACATCCTCTTAAATACTGCTTTATGTTCTTGTGAAATAGAAGACTTAAGAATAGAGAAGAACTTTAAGAAATAAAAGCATGTAGAATTTATAAAAAAATTAGACAAATAATACTTTAGAAACCCTGACCTTGAATTATAAAATACAGTAGTGTTACACTCAAAGCATGTATTAGAATTAGAATGACTCATAAAAAAGTGTACTCTGCACCTTGCATTTTTCCATTTGCATTGTTGCATTAAGTTCAAGGCACAGTTTTATAGTTTTGGTTTGTTTTTTTTTATAAAGAAAAGGATACAAAAATACACTACTGAAAAGGCAAATATGAAAAATAAGATTAAATCCAGTATACTCAAATGTCCATTGTCAGGTATCTTCTGGGCATAGACCAGAAATTAGTATAACATTGTCCACTCCAATTTCTCCAGTTTTTCCCTTCCCACGTTCTGATTCAAAAGTGACCTTTCACAAAAAAAGACATGTATTAGCAAGGAAAATATAGATTATCCAAACATTTAGCAACTCTTAATGTTAATTAATTATGAGTCAGTATCTGAGGAATATTTTTCACAAAACAGGACTTAATGACTTAAATCCTTGCTGTTTTTAGAGCTTCCATGTATTATTGGAACTATATTTAAAATCCTCTGTGCAGATTTACAATACCAAATGGATTACTTTAATAAGATTATTTATTTTCATTGTACAACGAAAATGCAAATTAAGTGAAATCCTCTTATAATAATGTAGTTTTATCACAGTATGCAATGTTAATGCACTTCATTTATTTAAGACATTGCAACTGTTCCTTTTCAATCTATTTGGATCCTCGGGTTTTTTGTGTATATACTATATATATTTACTCTCATGTGTATTCAGTGTAGTATGTATACAAAATAGAGAGAGGAGGTTCATTTTTATGAATAGAATGTCTGGAGTTTTATTTTATAGTCTGTTTCTGATTTATGTGAGGGCTTTTCTACACCATTCCAGCTGTGCAAAGGACCTTGAAAGGGCTCGCATTTCCTTTATACTCACAGTAATCAATTATACAGTAGAAGCCTTTGCACAGCACTGAAAACATTCAGTCACATAAATGGAAAGCAGGCCCCAGAATTTCAAGGAGAAACTTTCTGAAGTCCTGAGTGAGACAGTTTTCAGGCATACACCAGTGCACAGTATTCCCTGTTGGTTGGTATGTCCTGCTTCTGAGGTGATTGCCCACCCTTGATTATACATGATGTCTCCTTTTGCTCTAATGGTTTAGCTTAGTGTGGTTTGAGAGCATCCTCTTCTATGAAAGAGAAATTTTCATTTTTCCAGACATGTGTGTATGCTTCTGGTACACGAGATATTAAGGAGAGATTTTGCTAACTTGTGTTAGTTTACGATCTGATGCAGTTTTTTTACAAAATGACAGAATTACTGGCATCGGTGTTCTAATCAACTGTGTAATTCAGTTCTGAAATTACAACCAGGTGATAACTTCTGTGCCTCCTAAAATGTGGGCTCCTGTGTCCCATTTCAGATAAGCCTTTCAATTGCTGATGCCTGTAAAACAGTTGGTGGAACACTTGAGGATTAAGAAATTAAACTGTTGTGTCGATTATGGCAATTGGCTTATAAATTCTGTTATACTTACACTGTTATTTGTCTCAGCTCCCTGAAATATCTCTATTTTTCCAGTTCTCCACCTTTCATCTTTTCCTGTGTTCTGCTCCCAGACAGGAGCAGTTTTTTTGTTTGCCAGGAACACGCGAAGTTTCCCCACTTTCTCACCAGCAAGCCGATAACTGAAAATCAAGCAGTAGGTACTCTTTGGTTTCAGGTCAGTGAGAAGAAGTTTTAGACGCCCCATATCCTTCTTGTGCCCCACAAAAGCTGGAACTGCCATGTAGTACCCATCACCTTGTAACAAAAAAAAAAAAAAAGAGAGAAAGAAAAAAAAGCTTCTTTAATGGGTTTGTGTTATTTATGAGCAAATTGAATACATCTCCACTAAGAAGATAAGGGGAAGCTAGTTTGCTTGAATAATTTAAACTCAGACTGGAGAAAAGCAGCAGGGAGTGTACTTTGCAAGGAACAAGCTTGTACAGTTGGAAGTCAGATCAGTTTACAGAGGAGATGAGTTCATATTTCACTGGTGATTACAGTCATTCTTCCTCGCACTATCTTTCTAAGGCAAAACCATCTGTTTTTCAAATGCAACAGCCTGAAACATGCTGCTGTGCCTCTGTGGTCAGATAATTTCAGTACTTGAGCTAGCTCAATACTCTCTCCACTGTCCTCAGCTTATTCCCCAACTCCTGAAGGACCAATGAAGTGACAGACACACACACAAAGTGACAAAGGAATAAGACATCTGAGCCCATAAATAAAGTCATAATCAGCAGATGTTAGTTCAGGGAGACAGAGTAAGGCCAGGATAAGGTCTTCCTGGAAGTGACAGTACAGAGAAGGGATTTTGGGAATTAAGTGGAGCAGGATAGAAAGGATTAGTGAAGAAAGACTGGGATGGAAGGACTGTGAGGGAAGAGGGAGAGAATGTACATGTAGGAACTGGAGCAAGTGGCCTGCATGATCTGTAGGATCTGCTGGTCCCTACTGCAGCAACTTCTGCAACATTTCCTGGGTCACAGGGGAAGAGACATCCTTTCAAACAAATTCCTCCAGCCACACCTTTTTATGTACACCCACGGAGCAGTCACACATTGCACCCGTGGAGCTCTTTCTCAGGTTCAAGCAGGCCTCCTCTTGGTACCTAGTCAGGTATTGGTTGTTCTTGAATAGCATCTTGCCCTTGGCTCCTTCTGAGGAATGCTGTCACTAGTTTGTCTTGCAGAGTTTAAGACTTCTGAGCAGTTATCCCAGTGATCTAAGCCACGTGAGTGACTACATTGCCACATCCATCTAAATTACGGATGTGTGATTAAATGACTTACCAATCTTGGAGAGACACAACATGTAGCTGATAAGGTTTCCATTACCTTGTACCTTGCAATTCTGAACACTTATGTTCTAATAATTTTTCTTATATTTTGATCAATTTGTATTGAAATATGTTGCTGACTACCAGCTGCCACTGCATGTTTCAAAGAAACAATATCCACTCCCAGTATCCTCTGCCTCCTTTCATCTTTTATAAAAATAACCCACTGATTGAAAAGCTAATTTTTGATTCTGATTCTGATTCCCCTCCCTCCTGCATTTTTTTGAGGGGGTGACCCATCACATCAAAGCTTAGGTAGAGGACAGATATTTAAATACCTCTATCACGATCAGCAGGATTCCAGTCAAAGTCATCATCAGTGTCTTGTTTCCAGTCACAGACTCCTCGACTGAAGCTGCAATCAACTGAAAAAAAATTGTCAAAGAGATAAGAGAAATACTATATCATGGGTACTGTTAAAATAATTTGCTCATTATTCACACCACTATTAATGTACAGGTAATTCTAAAATTATCTGTAATCTGAGTTCACATAGTCTTGACCTAGATTAAATTGCAAAAAAGCAAAACATTAGAATTCATGTAGTAATCCTTTCTTTAGCTCACAGGAAAGTCTGTTGTGTCTTTTTATTGCCAATCTCCCATCTGCACATGAGTTTGTATGCTATAACTGCTGTATACTGAGTGTCTGCTGATCCCCAAGTATAGTTGGAGGTGTTAGTTTTGAACTCCAGTGTCAGAAATGATTTGGGATCTGGCCACTTTAGAGCTCTCCTCTCCATTTGTTACACTGAGTAGTTGTAATCAGCTGATATCAGCTCTGGTTCTATCCATTGAGAGAAGCTGGCCTCCCATGAGCAGAATTCCTTATGTCAGCATTTGATACTCCTACTACATGGAGCTGGGAATAGCCCAAATCAGTTTATCCTTAGAGGGTTCTGAAGGATGAACTGAAAAAGATTGTCACCCATAGCACACCACAGCCTTCGTGACTGTGCAGATGAAAAGCATTACATACACAAAGAAACACTCTGCAATGCAAGCATGACAGATCAGATTAAGAGTAATATGTCAGCCATCTGAGTCTCCTCAGAAAGATGCATCTGTCTTGTTCTATTAATGTATTTTATCATGAGACAAAGACATTCAGTACATTCATGGCATTTAGAGAGCTCTGCTGTATAAATTGACTATTTCTGAGTATTTCTAAATAGGAAAAAAGTCAGCCAGAACATTTGTCTATTTGGTTTGTTTAAGATTTGGAAGTATTTGTGGATTGTTTTTGGGTGAAACCCTCCTTGCCCTAAAAATAACCTCAGCTACAGCCAATCCCAGCACTTCAGCCCCTGCCCACTCACTGGTACCCTCCCAGGAGTTTGCTACTGCCCTGTAAGTGCATCAGCTCAATAAGATCTCTCAGTCCCTCCTTATGGATTCTGGTTTTTTTTCCATGGTTCTCAAAAACAGGTCCTTATCGTCAGCTTCATGATTCTGTCCATCACAGGGGAAACGGTTTCCCACCAGGAAAGAGAGGGAGAGTGCCCTTTGATCATACAATCATTAAGGTTGGAAAAGACCTCCAAGATCATCAAGTCCAACCTTCAAATGAACACCACCATATCAACTAGACCATAGCACCAAATGCCACATGGAGTCATTTCTTGAACACTTCCAGGGAGGGTGACTCCACCAACTCCCTGGGCAGCCTGACAACCCTTTTGGTGAAGAAATTCTTTATTCCTTTATGCTCTGCTTTGACCAGAGCTACACTGCAGTGTCTGTTATGGCTCCCAACAGGCAGTGAAGTTTTCTGCTTCAAAGTGCATGAAGCCATTTCCTAAGGCACAGCAGAAGCTTAAACTGTGTATATAAATTGACAGGTCTTCGACCTTCTATGCTCCCCTGACTGATTTTGTAATGATTTTTTAATGTGAAAAAGAACATATCTTACTGTGATATCCATGAGACTTACTGATGAATAGGGAACTATCACAAATTCATAGCCAGGCTGTGTAAGATTCAGGGTAAATATTTATTCAGTCTTGTACAGGGGAAACTCCTTCTGACTTCTGACAGAGGACCAGGAATAAAAACAAGATATGGCAGACAGACATTGGCATATTATTGTGTGCCATGGAACATATTCTCATTTTTTACACAATTGAAATTACTTTATTTTTTTATGACTATGAAATTATTCAAGTGAAATTCAATTACAAGTCAAGTTCCAGTGTGGGGGAACTTTCTGTATATGGCTTATAAACAGTTCTGTTTGGAAAAGGACACAAAACCAGCTTCTCACATGGGAACTGGCAGAAAGGTTTAGCCAGATACTGTCTCTAACATGTTCACCAAATCCTTGGTTTGTGTTAAAGGCTTTTAAACTCATTATGACTTGGCTGATATAGGTTGTCATGAAAACATACAATATGCAAGAAACTAAATACTGTAGAAAAAAAATAATCTACCTTCTTGCTCTGGTCTTGACACTGGAACTTTCCTCTGTGCCAGGTGAGGGCCAAAGGCAGCTGCTTCTTTCACCTTTGGAACTAGGGAAAACAACTTGTCAAGTGCTGAGTCATCATGGGAACAGAAAATGGAACTTTATTTCTTTATACCAGATGCCATCATTTATTTAAATAAGTCAATGTATATATTTTCCACTCCACTACCAAACTCCCTAACCCCAGTTAGATACTAACTCTGAATTTTAAAACTTAAATACCTGATCAGCTGTTGGGAAGGAAGGCTGTGGTGACTGCCCTTCCTCTTCCTCACCCTCCCTGCTACAGCTGATAAGCACAGACTGATGTTTTGATAACCAGACCCCATGGAAAGCCCTGAGCAAGTTATTTTGTAAAAATTGGTAGATGTGTCTTGTGCCAAACTGGAAGAGTCAGTACAGCCAATGAATGTTTGGTGCATTCTCCAAGACACTGGCCTGAAGGAGGTACTTGCTCAAGAAGCATTATTTTTCAGCAACAGCATCAGAGACCAAGGGAAAACCTCTCCTGTCTGGTGAGGTACAAAGTTATAGAAGCTTACATACTCTTGTTTATGCTGAATAATACTCTGAAACACTGTAAGTATTTTAAAGTTCTGTGATTAAGCTTCTCTTGTATTAAACACTTTTAAGTGTTTAATAGAGAAGTGCACTCACTAAAAATAATGACAGTCTCAACTTCTTTATGCATATTCTATGTAAGTAAATAATCACACATGAGAGAAAAGGAAGATCTGCTTTCACTGGTAGAGGATTCTATCCTTTGCAGACACATAAACAGATGATACCTATGATATATTCATGCACTCCTCTGAAAAAAGGAGGAGGTTAAATGTGTCATTTCAGAGGAGGAATGAGGGAAGATCCTCTGGATTACTGCCTACAGAAGGTATTAGTGGAAAGTCCAAAATACTGAAGTTCACTTTTCACCCACACACTGTGGGCCTCTGTGCTAAGAAAAGCTCAAACTGCTTCAACAGTGCCAGATGATAGGAGCTATGGAAATACTTTTCCCTACTCAGCATTGTATCATATATGCAAATGCCAAGTATTTTAAAAGTCATTACTTTCACATGCATGCACATTTGTTCAGAGGGGAGTTGTTTTCCCATGAGTTCAGCTGAACTAGTGCTTTCCATCTAAATACTCCAACATACAGTTGTAAACACATACTCAATTTTGAGAATATACTTGGAACCCAATGCAATCCAGAGCCTCCTAGCACCATAAAGGCTATACCATCTACTTAATCTTTCTTCTCCTTCAAAACTGTCAAAAATTGCTTTGTGTACCCCAGTGAAATCACACTCTAACAAAGAAGCCCTGGAGGTATTTCCAGAGGTGCTGAATTGAGCTGAGAAAGGAGACTCATGCAATCTTATGAGCTTTCTGATGAATTGCCAGGAGCGTGTCCTCTCTTGTTGTCCTTGCAGCCTTCCCCTCACCCAGACCATTACTTAAATCACTTGGATAATATTCTTACTCAAGGCAAGGATTAATATAGCATTCTCCAATTAATATATGTCTACATATACACATTTAGGAATAGGCACATGGAGATTAGGTGTTGAGTTTACTGTCATGCCATAAACTTGGCCTCATACTTATTGAAAGAGACTCAGGCTGTGAAAATCCTTGCCAAAATGAAGAGAGCTATTAAAATATGATCAGTTCTGGAAAAAGTGATTTAACAGAAGACAACAGCTGCCAGTATGATTTATATGTGAAGTTATTGAATTACACTTGAATTCACTTGAGGGATCTACATCCAGGTGTAGCTATGTGCTATCAAGCGAAGAACTGTCATACACAGAAAAAGAGCCCAGTTTTGTATCCAAATCTATTTTTGTTTTCAGTCAGGCATGACAGTCAAGTTTTCCACTTACTTAAAGATATCAGCTGCTTATTGTGAGAAACTGTTAAGTTTCAGCTAAGAGAAAGGCTTCCAAGAAACCTTACTGCTTGGGAAGTGCCTACATTTTACATCAAACCATCATCACACATAGCCAGGATACAAAGTTTACTCCCTCGTAAGTAGTAGGCAGGAGTCAGGATTACTCTTTTTAGCTCTTCTGCTGTCAAGTGGTCTTGTAGAAAGGCAGGTCTCATCCCATGTTCCCTAAGAACATACTCTCACCAATGAAAGTGCACATAGTCCCACTTTAGGCACAGCAGAGTCCGTCCTTTCTGTACTGCTGATGCCCTCCCATCTACTTACCTGCAGCACTAGCTGCTGTGAAATCTCTACATATAAACCCCTTCGTATGTTGGTGCACACATTCTTAACCATTGATGTCATCATGATACTCTTACCAGGTAAGATGGGTTGATCTTCAGAGCAGGAATTAGTGGCAATACCCATGTAACACACTACCATGAAATTCTACAGGAATTGTGTCTGTGAATGTCTGTGACAAGCTGAGCATAAATAAATTTGAGATTTTCTGGTCCTGAAAACAGCCACCTCATTGCTGACACAGGTTCTTGCATCTGCAGGAAATTCAGTGTTGCTACCTGCAACATATATCTGAGTATTGCCCTTGTTCTTAGGAGGGAGAATCTCTTCGAGCCATGTCAGGTGGAGTTTGTCAAGTGTATTATACATCGAGAAGTGCAGCAGGGAAGGAGACTTTCTGCTCAATAGAAAGCCCCAGCCAGGTCTACCTGGCTGAAGGTACTTCCCTAAAAAATGGTAAGACTTGCGTAAAGAACTCTGGAACTAATGAAACTGTTTGCAATCATGGAAACACTTCTTAGCAAATAACCTAAGAAAATGAGAGAGTAGGGCTGAAAAGAAGCATTGAGACATTATTCTAGTGTAGACATGACTGAAGAGAATGCCACAAAGGGGATTTAGAAACAAATTTATACATGAAATTAGAATTCCATTTTAAAAACACCAGACTTACAGGGAGCACTGCACATACTGAAATAAATAAGGTTTGAAGGCCACCTCCCCTTTCTGGGGACCTTAATATAGTGAAGTAAAGAAAGAGACTGCCACTAGAAGATATAGAAAAAGAGACAGTTAGATTCAAGCACATCCTTTTATACAGTGCACAGCAGTGCCCTCCTAGAAATGCGGGCAGATACCTGTTCACTCTCCCTGTCAAACAGAATTGTTAGCACTCATCTGCCAGTTGTGCCAACTTGGAGCACAAAAGTTCTTTGGAGTTGGCTTGCATCTGGCTTGCTTGTGTGAGCTCGGGCTGTCTGAAAAGTGCCACATAGACAGAACCTCAAGTCAGTCTGTAAGTCAAATAAGGGCCAATGAGGTCACAGGAGCAATAGGAAGTTTCAGGAGCACATCTGGAAATGCAGTGCTTGGAGTAAACTACAACATTTAAAGGTTCAAAGTAAAGAAAAAAAAAAAGCAACCAAAAAAACCCCAAACCAAAATTGAACCCCGTACCACAACGAGCAGAAGCTCAGTAGAACAGGTCTGTGGAGCACTGTTTTATGGACACCCCTCAGAAAACAGTACAAAAGCACTGTTAAGCATCTGGTAAGTGACTGATGCTAAAGGAGCTTTCTGAAAACACTGATAGATTTTCCTTTCTGTGGACTTGGTTTCACCTCTCTGCTTTGCCAAGTGCTGTATATAAAGTTACTTATAGTGCATTTGGAAATGGTATTTTAATCTGAAAAAATATGGCTTTGTTTATAGCCTGGAAGTAATTTTCTATTTGTCTGCAGTAATGCATGTGCTATCCTTAAAGCTTTGATCCCTTTTTTTTTACCCCATTATTGTGACTGTATTTTTTTATAAAGCATCTGTGGCATCACATTGAACTCTTGCTGAGGCAGCTAAACTGGGAGAGCAGATATATAGCAGAATATAAGCACCCATATATTTAAGTGTGCTAGTTGTGGGCAATGTGGTATATTTTTATTTCTTGTTACTACTGTTTGATTTTTCTTTCCCCTGGAAAATGCTGGTGTCTGGTTTTGCCTAGGTAATCTAGTTAGTCTAATGTAAAAATAACACACTGAATTTGGGAAAAGTAACTAATCTTGGTAATTCTAACACATATGATCTAAAGTGCCTGAAACTGCAGCATGTGGGAACTCTCACAAAAATGGTACTTGCTGTGTTTCTAACACTGTTCTCTAATGTTCAAAGCTCATTAAAAACAAACAAACAAAACAAAACCAAAACAAAACAAAGAAAAAACCCAACCTCCTAAACAAAAAATGAAAACAAACAAACCCCCCATAAACAAACAAACAAACAAAAACAAAACAGAAAACCAGAGTGGGCACTGTAAAAAAATGAAGCAGACTGTAAGAAGTAGGAAATTTAAGACTCACTTCCTATATATACAGTGTATCACTATGTCAGACTCAAAGGAATATACCATATCTGTGCTACAATGTCCTGCTCTGAAAGAATTACATTTGCCAGATGTCCGACATCTATAGCTCTGGACTGAGCTGTGGTCTGAGCACTGTAGCTCACAGAGTGGTGTAATTATCAGAAAAGAATAAGATTAAGAACAGACATCATGATTAACTAAGAGAGAGCTTTTGTTCAAAATTAAGAACCCCAAAATCATAAGGGAAACAGTGCACTTTTAGTATTGCCAAATAAACCAGAACCCAAAACCTCTTGGTGTTACCAAAGTAAATGTCTCTGTAATAACATGGTTGGTTACATGATACTGCAGGAGTTACACGATATGAGTTTCATAAACTGATAAAGTAGAGAATATAGAATTTAGTTGCAGTTGGCAATACCATTCTAGATTACCAATGGTACCTGAAAAGCACTGAAATGTTAGAAGCTGTCAGAATTAAGGTTGTGCTTAATTGATTAATTAAGTGTAGCTTTGAGTGTAGCATCTCTACAATCATTGCTTGTACAACCAAGTACTTTGGTCCAACTCTCTGTGTCTTCTTCCATGTGCAGAAAGGACATTTCTCAGAGTAAGGAGCTTTCCAATACTTTGGTTTACTCTAATCTTCTATATATCTGCAAATTTTGCAATCAATAGGACATATTTATTTAACTATTTAATATTAAGAATTAATAATAAAAATAATATGGATAAATTATTAGTCTATTGATAAATAAATATTCCTATTTATTAAACTGCACCTTTCACAACAAAACAGATCGTTCCTCCACACTGAACAAGGTAAAGATCCCATGGAATATAGTCATTTGAAGTCATTACAGACTGTATCATAAGATAAAAAGATAAGGAAAAAATTTTCATGGATGTCCTTAATTTTGATATTTCTTAAATGTTGGGGGCTTCACTGTGCTGTCTTTAACTATTGTAGTTTGTTTTTTTTAAGTAGTGAGTAGCAATTTTGATGAAGGTTCAGTATTTTGATAGCTGGTTTATTTTAATAATTTCCATCTCTGTAAAATAATTTCTTTATTTCCCTACAGTATTTTTCTGTGACTCCCTATACACTTAATATGTAGTAAAACTACTATGATAAAATAATAGGTCAATTTAAAAATAAAAATTAAGATCTCTGAAAAGTGCAACCTATCTATTTTTCCTAATTAACTGTTCCTCCTGGAAGACAAAGAATACCTATATTAATAATACAAGAGGCAGATGCTATGTGAATACTTGAGGGGATTATATGGAGGAACTTAATGTGGTAGTAAAGGAATCTGCTGAATAGACACCAGCAAAGAAGGGAAAAAACATGATGTACAAATTTACGAGCTGTAAATTTGAGCTAACGATGTAGTCCAAAGGATCATTCAATATCATTAAAAATTAAAGTGGTTTTGAAGCCAAATGTTCAAGCAATTAAGTGCCTAAGTCATGACTGAATTTTTATTAATAACAAGGATCAATTATAGCACATGGAAATTTAAAAGGAAAGGAAACACAGTTAACAAGCTACCTATCTTAAAATGAAAATGCAAATGCCACAATGCCTGAAGTCCTAGAATCATAGCTGGCATCAAACAAGAAAGTCATAAATAATACAGAGTTCACATACTTAATGAAACTGCATCTTGGACATACTTGCTATCTCTATGTCACAGAGCACACTGACTTTCTGCCAGTATCCCCTGGCAAAATAAAATCTCTCTAGCATGGCTTCAAACTGAAAGAGGGTAGGTTTAGAGTAGATATTAGGAAAAAATTCTTAACTGTGAGGGTGGTGAGACACTAGAAAAGGTTGCCTAGAGAAGTTCTGGATGGGCCATTCCTGGAAGTGTTCAAGGCCAAGTTGGATGGGGCTTTGAACAACATGGTCTAACAGGTGGCCCTGCCAGTGGCAGGGGGATTGTAACTAGACCATCCTATGATTCTATGATTCATTTTCTACAAGTAAATTCTGCTAAAGTGTCTATGATGTTTTGTGATGGTTTTGTTAGTGTTTATATATTTTTATATTGAAGCCAGATTTTTTTTAAAAACAAAGAAACTTACAAAAGACATCTCCTCTCAGGCTTTGCTCATCATCGATTTGATTCTCAAAATCTGCCTTTTCCTCTTCATCAGACTCTTCTGCTTCATCTTCTGTAATAGCTTCAATTTCTTTCTCTTCCTCACTGTAGCTCCCACCAAGATCAGTACCACCTTCATAGTCCAATATCTGCAAGTGGGCCTTAGAAGGTGGTGTCACAGCTGCTTCTGGGATCGCATTCTTGATTTTTTCATGCTTTTTCACACTATTTTTATGTGCAAGAAGTTTCTTAATTTTGTCCTTAGCTGTTCCAGGGATTCTTGCAATTTCCTTCACTGACTTTTCAGGGATAACTAGAACCAAGAAGAAAATAGTAAATATCCATCTAAGGAACCATCCAGCATTTTTAAATGGGACCATGGTGTCCTTTACAATGTCTAGAGACATACAGCTAAATTTTCTACTATGAATATAAGTTCAGCTATGCACAGAACCAAACACACATGCTCGTGTTCAGCTCTCTGAGTTACAGTGAAAAAAACCCGAAGTGATCCTCTGTCATGAGTGCTTTGGACTCCTGTGTAACACAGGCCATACCGCCCCTTACATTAATTATTTTTACACTGAAGCTTAGGTTAAAAAAAAAGGAAAAGAAATCCTGCTTCAGCTTGTGAACTACCAAAAATTGTATGTGCAGCTGAGATTCCCTGCACAACTGTCAGCCGACTAGTAATGAGCAATTTTCTTAGCTATCTTTTGTGAACTTTTCTGGCCTACTTTTCCTTCCATGGCAGGCTGAAAGCCACTGAAATGGAGCATATTTTGAGAAGACATACATCAAGCTGCTCCGTCATATTTCATTTAGCTCTAAGGGCTATTAAGATGTAAGGGGTAAACCCCAAAATTCAGAGAGGCATCCAGGAATGCCAAATTATTATCGTCTTGCAATTCCAAGATGGAGTAGAACATAAATGTAAAATTTCCTCAGATTTTTACTATTTTATGATTCCTCTTGGCCATGAAATACTGTAGGTTATCCTTTTGATAATCTGGTATTATTCTTTTAATTATCCTGGTATTATCATTTTGTGTAATACTAACTATCTTTTTGAATAACCATTCTTGTAGTATCTTGCAGCTTTGGATCCTGCTTAAAAACACAAGGGCTGCCAGAGGTGAAAACTTAAGAGTTAGGATAAAAGTCAATCAAGATTCTTCAAATCTGCAAAACAAAAGAAAATTCTGAATTTGGAGTTTTACCTATTATGAAGTATAATGAAGTCAATATAGTCTACATTGAGGCACAAACTTCAAAACATTAATTGGTAAGAGGACATTTTTACATTTACATGGCAACTCTGATTTTCTAATCATGCTTTCCTTGTCAATGTATTGAGTTTCAGGACACAAGCCATTTATTTCTTTTAGAATTCAAATTTTTTATCTCTACAATCATTAAACTATGTTTGGATGCTTGAATGTGGGAGGTTTTTCATAGGAATGCATTTGACGTTGAATTTCTAGGCATGTAGGGAGGCAGGATTGATTTTCCACCAGTGGTGGGACCTAGTAGCAGAACAAAGGGCTCCTTTGAGACTGTATGTTGGGCAGCTGTTCTCCATGTTCTCTTAAGATAGAAAAATTATCAATTTACATGAAACAAGATATTTTAGTTACGTATTATGAAAAACTTGCTTACTATCCTTGCTATAGGATAGTGAAACACAGGAGCAAGCCACTTAGGTTATTTGAACTGTATCACTAGAAGTTAAAAAATTGTTAGGCTACCATCTGTCATTAATATGCTGGATATGATCTGCCTCAGAGCAAAAGAACAGTCTAACTGATCTTTTTTAGTCCCTTCCAGATGTACTCTTCTCTCATCTGACAAAGACTGATGGCTCTTTGTGCTGATGGCCAAATCACAGCTGAGGGTTAAAGTGAGGACTACTTTGGATCAGTTTGTTCAAGGTATGTGTGCAGTACAAATTCAAATGAGAAATTATGGCAATACTGCAGGTGTTGCCTTTTATCAGCAACATCAGTTACTGCTCAGCATCAGTTGAGAACACCACTGTGACCAAACAAGACCTGGAAGGCTTTGTGTGACATGTATGCAAGTTTCAGAGAAGACATTAATCTGAGGAGTTCTAGTTTGTAAGATGATCACATCCCATTATAAGGTTTCCATTAGACCTAATCAAATCCTTATTCTGTCATAGTACCAGAGCTACTAAGGAGGAACATATCCTTGGGGTTTAAAGTCCATGGCAATGGACTTTGGGGCTCAAGACAATGAGGCTTTTGAAACAACTCAGTATGAAACAACTGCTATGACACGACCAACTCAGTCCTCTAGCACAGCCTGATTTGAGTGGGTGAGGAAGAACTGGTGAGTAGGAAAGAATTAACATGTCATAAGCTACTGACAGCCTTCTGTAGTTTGACTCCTTTATGTGAAGTACCTAGGACACAATGAGAGTTGAGCAGTTCCTTGGTGCTGTACAAAAGCTCTTCCATAAAGAGAGACTATTTCTACCAGTGGGCTTTATATACTGCTTTCTGTCTTTAATTCTTGATCAGCATTGATGCTGCAGTACCTACAGTCTTTTTGGATTGAAAATGGTGGGGGAAGTCAGCTGGTTTTATTTCCCTCTGCTTTTGCTGTCTAGTGATTTTATTAACAGAACAAGAATATGTTCCTATTTTGCTCCTTACTGTGTAATAGTGAAAACTTCATAGTAGTATTTTGGGACAGATGTACAGGACTTGTAACCTTGAGTAGTACTTTTTTTCTGTGTGTTTCTTTTCATAGAAGAGACATAGCAGAAGAAAAAACACCAGCTAATAAAACATAACTGTGGACTAGTAGGAAAAGGGGAAAGTTCCCTGAAATTATGTTCACTCCTGGAAAATGGAATCCTATCATCGTGAATTTGTCACGTTTTATTTATGGGAAATGCAACTACATGCTATCTAGTATGTCAGGAACAGAATCAGACTCTCTTGGTGTGCTCATTGGAGCATTCAGGGATTTTTGGAAGTTGCAGTTGGAGTAAATGGATGCCAATAAAACTAAAAACTAAAGATTTTTTTTTCTTTTCCTTTGGATAAATCTTGCAGCCTTGCTTGTAACATCTTGCAAGTAAACTCCTTACTATTACTGCACTAAGTGTCCTCTAGAGGATGATGTCATGAAGGATGTAAGGTTTTCTGGGTCTAAACTCAGAATGTAGCAATAAAAATTAACAGGAAAGCTTAATTCCAAACAAATTTCCTCTTGACAATAAGTAACAAGAAACTTCATGCTGCTAATAAAGGCTATGGGGATTTTCAAGGCAGGGCTGAGTGCTCAGCAGACCTGAACATCTGCATTTAGTTTCTGCTTTGAAGTCTTCCTTGTGAAATTATAAATTCTTACAGCTCAACATAATAACCTCTGTGGTGTCAGAAAACCAATCTCCCTGTATGTGCAAAATTAAGAAGTGCAGAAAATCAAATGATGGGAGTGACAAAAAGAGGGAGATGAAAATGTCTAAATTCCCATGTGCTTGCAGACTCCAGTTTGCTGCTGCACTATGAAAATCTGCTCATGGGGACAAAAGGGACGAGACAAGAAGCACATTTTAGGATATGGCACTACTCCCTTTCTTATCTGCAGTCAGCTTTAGAGTAGCTGGAGATGTGGTTTTAAGGTATTTTATGTCTACACATACATTGCAGGAGGAATAATCCAGTGTAAGGATACCCCACCTTAAAGTCAGTCTGTTCTTTTAAATCCACTGCCTGTGGACTTGCCTGAATGAGCTCATCTTCCCTGGCAATCGGGGGTGCTACACCTGAGGCAGTGATTCTTCAGAGCCCTTTGCCCCAGGACATGGAGATAAATGCAGAGGTGCTGGTCACAAACATTTGTGCATGTGACTGCATAGAGAATTTTGGAAAGTGAAAATAAATGTAGTGCATTTCATCTCAGCTCTTCCTTGTGTACCTTCCATCAGAAAGTATGCAGATAAATGCCTCCTGCTCCTACAGTTTGTGTTTATTGACCTAATATGAAAATATCTCAATTTTCAAAGGCATTTTCTTTCTTTGAATTAGAATTAAAGCAAGAGGTAGAAAAACAGAGGCAAGTGGTGGCTGAGGGATAAAAGTAAATCTTTTCTGTCATTAGTTGCTGTACAAGATTATAAACCCATAGAAATGGATTGGTGTAGGATGTCTAATGACCAAGTTGCGAAAGTTGAGTTGAAAAAAATAGAGAGCAGATGCCAACCCCTTGACTCCGTGCTGCGTTGTATAAAGGGAAGTACTCAGGGGATGATACAGGAGAGAGACAGACAATGATCCATTCTCCTTCCACACACCCTGTGACCACAGCCAGTGCTGGCCAGGGCTCTGAGCGTACAGAGGAGGCAGAAGGAGACAGCTTCCTCTGCACTCCAGCAGGCTCCCCACTGCTTCTACCTTCACAGCCAGCAATATATTTAAAAATCTGGTGAGAGACAAGCTTAGGAGATTAGCTCACAAATCCTTTTGTAGCTTCCCTTGTGGCTTTGGAGAGGTGGTGAGGGATACAGACAACCCTTTACCATATTTGGGCGGAGCCTATAGATGCGAGTAAAGATTAGATCAGCACGACATAGTTTCAGAAATCTTTCTAAAAGTTCTCAACCTCTTTTAGACAGTCTTAAGAGAGTCTGAAAGCTTTCATAGATAGGTTAAAACACAGATTATGGACTATTATTCTCTTTTAAGCACCATGGAACATCATCTACATATCCCTACCCTGTTTCATGTCTTTTTTTAGGGAGGGATACTTTGAGAAATTAGGGCAAGTTCATCACACTGGACTGTGCTTAATACTTGATTACACCAGCCGGTAATGCTTCCAGTAGGAAATGTGTGATGACAAAAGCCTAAGTGTTATTCATTAAAGCATAGCAGCAGTATTTGACTTCATACTGAATTGAACTGTAAGAATATCACCAGTGATATGACCACAATTACTTCTTAAGCTTTGAAACTTTATTGTGTCAAACTCAATGTTTCTCAGGACTGGCAAGTTAATAAGAAAGCCAAATCATATATAGGGTTTGAGAGTTACCCTATCAGCAAAAAATGAGTGAGTAATACAAGAGGCACAGAGAGAGCTGGCATGAAATTGTATTGACATTTAGATATCCAGCAAAACATAATGAAGAGTAGTAACCCCTGCCTCCAGCCCAGCAATAATAAGAGTGTCATTGCTGAGCTCCTTAGAGTGATGCCTGAAGGTTGTAGACAAAGTTAGTAATCCTTTTTCCTGTTATTTTGTTGTACCATAAAAGTGAATCAAAAATAGGTTCAATTTTTCCACAGGAATCTTAACTGCTTATGGAACCTTGTGAGACTCTATTCTTAAATAAAAGCTGAAATACACATAGTAGTATGTGGCAGGGGAAATGTGGTTTTTCAATGCACAGTAGGAAATCAGGAAACACATGAACCTGAGAAGAGCAACAGATTGCAGCAAGAGAGAGGCCAGATGTGGAAATGGCTAGGACCTTTTTAGGGATCATTCAAAACATTACATCTCTATGGATTCTCAAATGAAATGTGGGCTAGAGACAGTTCAGAAGCAGCCTCTAGTGTTTCATGCATATTAGGAGTGTTAAATGGTAAAAGGGTGCCTGAACAATCACAAGTCATATCCATGCCAGCAGTAGTATTTGCTGTCTGATGTTTCAGCAGCTTTCTCCTAAGTTATTATATTGACATGCAAATTAAATGAAAGAATTTACCCCACCTTGTGTGCAAAGGTGAATTATATATTATCTCATTCGGTTATTTGGTGGCATGAGGAGATGTAGCCATAGGTGTTTCATTATAAACAATGTACTTAGCTATGCTCTTTTCATTAAAATATTTTTCCTTTGTTATAAAAAGCAAATACTGTTGCCATGGTAGCCAGTATGTTATATACTAGAGGCAATTGCTATAAAGTATTAATGTTTCCCTATGAAAACAGGATTGCAGCCCTATGGGGATACTTATGTGGAGTACTGAGGACATATTTAAGAAGCCTTTTTTTTAACTGCAGCACAACCCCAGGCCCATCTGTTGAGAGCTGGGGTGGGACACAGGAGCTGTAGCCACTGTCACCAAAAGAAGTGTGAAACCCCTTAAAAATCCTTAAGCCCCTTTTGTCCCAGGATCATGCCCTCATCCTATTAGATCCAATAACAAAACTTTCGGCTTCAGTAAGGCCAAAGGTTTTCTACAATTGCCATATGACATGGAGAACACTCAGTGTTTCAGTGTACTGGTTGATACACTGGTACATCCAATTGGTGTTTGTGTTACTGTTTGAAAAACATTTTCCCCAATAGCAAGACGCATGTCCTGTCCTCATCAGTTATACTGGTCAGACTTTTTTGAGGATTGCAGTAAGAATGAACTATTGAAACATTCAAGGCTAAAAGAATCTCCTCCTCTTCCCTTTACATAAAAGGTGTACGTGGGGGAATGACCACCAGAGAAACCAGTCTCTCTTTAGCACCACTGATTTTCAGGTTTTACCTACCACTGACTCTAGTATTTTTCTCCTCCTCAATTGTTTCATATATCTTTCTAGCTAGACACTCACGTTTTGATCTTCTGCCTATGGCTGTGATTTCTCTCATTACTATGTGTTATTCCTCTATCCTTTCTCATAGCAAATCTCTTTTTCATTTAGTGTATTTTACTAAGTTTATGAATGCATGTCTCCTTCCTCTGCTAAGCAAATAATGGACTTCAGTAATTGGAAATATGACATTAGGAAGTAGTCAGAGAGAGGCAAACAACTAAGAAACATCAGTGAGAAGATAGGAATCACCTGACTTCAGGACTGATTTTTTTTACAGGGATAGACATTAAAAACTGCCTCTCCACAAGCAAAAATATTTCCATTGTTCATATTTAAGCAATCATGCCTGTTGAATTGTTTCTGCTTGATCAAAGAATGTTTTATACATAGACTTAACCAAAAAGAGATTGGAAATTGTCAGCATCTTAATAAAAAGAAAACAAACAAATGAAAAAAAACCCAGGTCACTTTGCTTGGAGATTTATTTCTTTAACATTTCATCCGTGGTACATTTTGTTTTAACAAAACCATATCATGATGTGTCATGTCAGCTTGCTGTGGTGTTCAGTCAGGTCTCAATCCCTCTTACTGCATCCTTCCATTGCAGTAAGATGCAGTGACATATCACAGGGGATGTGGTCTAGCAAGGAAACTGGCTCATAACATTGAATTTGGAGAGAGGAACCTCCTAAACAGCTCTGCTGTGGCAATCTATGTCCAAACCAAACCTTTCAGTACCAGTCAGGTTTTTGATTGTTTATTTTTGTTCATTAGAAATCAACGTTTTTTACTGGAAATAGAAATTTAACAAAATGGTTTGATACTTGGGGCTGTCCTGTGCCAGGCTGGGAGCTGGACTTTGATGATCCTAGTGGGTCCCTTCCAACTCAGAAAATTCTGTGATTCTGTGAAAATACTAACTTATCAATGTGTATTGAAAGTTTCAATGACTATCATAATGGGAGTAGGAACATGGATAAAAGAGGGTCTCATAGAACATCTGTAACCATGAAATATAACCGTAATACATATCTGATCAAGGATTACTTGAAAAAAGCCCAGGAAGGTTTATATATTATGTTGAGTTCATATGCTATAGAAAAAAACTTTTTAAGTTTGTGCAGGGCTCAGATTTCCTCCTTAGGAAAACATTTCTAATGGTGTTGCAGGAGAAACCTCTGCTGGGTTTAATATAGGTATAAATAAAAAGGTTCATTTTAAATAGAAAGACAAGAACAGCCCTTCTTTCTTCCTTCTTGGAGGGTCATGTTCAGTTAGAACTGGGCAATTACATCTTTATAGGAAGTCTTCAATATTCAATAGAGAAACAAATGCAAAATTTTAAGGGAAAATAGTTTAACACAGAAGTCACAGTTCTTCTCCCTTTTCTCATTTTTTGCTAAGTTAGCCTGAAACTCTTCTGGAAGAAACGGCACAGCCCTCCAAAGGGCTACCCTTGGGAGTTCATGGAAAATTCACAGTACGTTTTTAAAGCTGTTTCTTCACGACAAATCCTCTTCTCTGTTCTAATTATGATTCCTAGAGATATATGAGACTTGGAGACTCATAGGCAAAATTAATTTGAACAACTTATACATGTACTAACTGTGCTATGACTCCTACAATTAATATATTGGTTTTTTGAGAGGTCTTGCTTGGTTGGTATTGCAGCACTGTTCAGCATGACATTTCCAAGAAAATGCCTTAGAATGATCAATTGTTGGAGAAAAACAATACAGCAGTATTCCTGACATTCAGTGGTACTCACCAGCACAATCAAATCCAGTTCCTCGGTATCCCTGTTTACATTTGCACTTGAAGGACCCCTCAGTGTTGAGACACTCTGCATGGAGGTTACACCTGTGTGTATTTGTCACACATTCATTCACATCTAGGGAGAGATATAGATGCTTTAGTGAAAACCCAAGGTTCACGACAGCTTGTTTGTGCCAGCCATCTGTTTCCAGGTATTGTGAGCACTAACATTAGACCAAGACAGTCCAGCGACCATCAGGGGCAGAAGAATTCACAGTGAGAGAGAATGCTGACTGTCAGCTCCACATGCACAACTACTGGTATATGCATCCATGGAAAATGTAGAGCATCTCAGTAAAGACAAAGTGAATGTAGTGATTTTCTGACTGAGAACAGGATTCAAGCTATAGGTTGAACACACTCTTCTATTAACAGAATGCAAAAGGCACCAAGAGAATGTGCGACATCAATTAAAAAACAACTCACCAAAACTTTCTCAATCTTTCATTCACTGTAGAAGAAAAGCAATGGAAAGTAAACCTGAGTATGCCAAGATGTTATAAGATCTTTAATCTACCTCTCATATTCCAGCATACGTATAATGCTGTATGAAAAAAGTATAATCAGGAAAATTCAGTAGAAAGTACTACGGTCAACTCACAGCAAAATGTACAAGCACCAAGAGTATTTGATTTTGTTCTCCTTTTTCCTTATTTTTCTCCATCACAAAGATGTTTCTGATTTCTCCTACATGAGGGAGTCAAGCTGGTGCACAAGTGTTTGTGCCACTGGAATTTTATCCAGATTGCATCATTTTTAGCAGCTGACAGGTCCTCTCATAACGTAAGTCAGCAAACAGACAAGTAGCAGGAAGAGTGACTCAAAAATCTGGTATTTCTGAAAGTGAGACTGAGGTTTGCAGATAAAGTCCTGACTACTGAGACCTCTCCAGTTTTTCCCCCATCCACATATATTGTATGAAAAAATATTTTTTCCAGTTTAAGACTCTCGGGGTTTGCAGACAACAAGAAATGCAAATTTAGGTCTCCAAATCTGCCTCACGATCTCACTTCCTCCCCTCAAGTCAATATCAATCAAATATAAACAAAACACATGAATTCTCTTTTTTATGCACTTGTAGTAGTTCTAACCCTTCCAGGCCCTTGTGTTGTCAACAACTTGAACAATGCTCCTGTGGCACCTGCTGCAGGAACTTATACTTTGCTGTTCTTCCATCGTTCAGCTAATGGATTGAAACAGGAATAAAGGTGATTTGACGTTTGTTTTGACACCTGAGCATGTCAAGATAACTTTTTGCCTGTATTTATTCTTGTTAGGGAGAAACTTTGGCATGCTATAGAGATCTGAAAAGTAATTGAAACCTACTGTTTTCACACATTTTTTTTGATTGTCTCTACTGTCCATCCAAACAACTTGTTTTAAAGTCACAAAGGCACTTGATTCACATTCCTCAATAATGACACACAAAAAAATAAAAAAAATAAAAAAAAATTTGCTCATCACAGTTTGAAAGCCAAGACAACAAAAACTGGCTCTTTAACTAAACCTGTACCCGAAGTGGCATTTATTTTAGTCAACTGTTGCTAGCTTACTACAAACTCTTGCACATCTTGACTCGGTACAATGAGGCCATTTTTAATTGCAAGTGCCAGTGGTTACATTTTTCATAAGGCTACAGAGAAAACCCAGAGAAAAATTCAAAGTGTCATCAAGAATATCCTTAGGGAGACATCTTTTATCCATTTCTGAGGCAGTATCCTCAGGCTAGGCCATCATGCTTCAGGCAATGACAGGGAAGATGCACACTGTGGGAAAAAAAAACAACAAAGAAGGAAAATTCGTGGGCTAACTCTTACCTACACAGTCATAATGGCCACTGATGTATTTCAGTTCATAACCAAGCTGGCACTTGCAGTAGTAGCTTCCAAAGGTGTTGATGCATCTGCGGTTGTAAGAGCAGAGAGCTTTGCCAGTGGAGCATTCATCAATGTCTAGAGCAGAAGGGATGCTGGTCAGATCCATGAGAAGGTAAAATGGGAAAGCAAGAACTAGTTGGGATTTGCATGGGAATGGTTTGGTCTTGGCTATCACAAGTTGTTTAATAAATAACTCCTGTAACTTCATGCTTTGTGATGGCTTTTTGCTTTTGCATGTGTTCTTCTGAATGAAGCAGCAAAATGGGAACTTCATGGAAGATTTTGAGACCTGGCACGGTAAAATCTAGGGTAACTGGCAGTGTGGGTTCTCCTCACTGGGGACAATGATTTGCCCTAAGGTCTTGGAGTAGGCTCAGGAGGAAGTACAAAAATTTCTTTATTTCCCAGAGAATAAAGGGAATGGAAATGTCAAAGAACAGTTTAAGACAAAGTTCCAGGAACAGGAAATCGAGAGCAGCAGCAGCTCTTCTACTGAACCTCTGCACTTCTCCTTGCTGGGCTAAGGCAAGACATATCACATTTTAGCACATAGTAGTGACTTTGAATGTAATTCATCATGCCACACTGCTGCCCTTTATGGCTTAGAACTGCTGTGATGTGCTGCTGGACACCACGGTCAGTCTTTTTATGATTTCTACCATTTGTTTCCATGCTTAGGTGATCAAAGGAAAGTGGACAAGAATTCAAAAATATTTAAATAAACCTGGACAGCTTCCTGAAGACAAAACATTGTATTTAATGGCCTCATAGCAATAGGGAGAAACTGAATCTGTTGATGACTCTAAATCATGTCAAAACATTCAATTATTTATTGGAGATGAGACTTATCAGAAGAATTACATGGCCAATAGTACAAGAACAGTTATTAAAAAAAAGCATGAAAAATTTACATCGCACTCTGATTAACAAGAAGAATTATTCAATCCAGCAAGGAGGATTAACTACTTCTTAACCTTTCCCCAGAGTCTTATGGTTTCAGGAATCCTACAGAAAAGAGAGTGAGCTCTCTAAGCATACCAATGCATGTCCTTCCATCTGATCCCAGCTGAAGGCCACCTGATGGACAGAGACACTGCACCTCCCCTTTGACTTCTTCACATCCATATTGGCAATTCACCATGGCACATGTCCTGGAACCTGAAAACAGTATTTCAAATAACAAAAAGAGCAAAATTCTAGGCTGGGATCACACACTTAAGTTAGATCTGGATGAACACAGAAATTAATCAGAACAACAGAATTCCATTCATTATAAATAAAACTGTCTATACATTAACAATTCTGGAGTCCATGTGATAGATCTTACACTCCTGTCTACTTTGCTCTTTCCTTATCAGCCCTTATTCCTCTCTTTTTTGCTGATCTCAGTTCTGTGACTTTTTAATACCACCCTTTAGACTCAGAGAGAGAAATGGAAGAAATAAATATCCATTTCTCAAGGATGTCAGGGGCCTGCAGCTGCTGCCTGCCAGTAATACACACCATGGTTAGTAATGCAGTGGCACGAACCTGAGATGTGATGTATGGCAGGGAAACCCTCCAGAAGCTCTGGCCCCTGGGCACCTTTTGTGGCAATTTCAGTCTCCCTGCCATAAGTGAGAGAGAGTAGTGGCTCTGGTTTTCAGACCTGCTCTACAGCTGCAGACCCTGCACTCCTGCAAGTATTTGCCAAGGCTGGGTACTTTTACAATTATTCTGATTGACTTGCCAGATGGGCACCCTGCCTGATGAACGGTTTTCTCCAAGATTTGGAGATCAAAGACTTTTAGAATTTATGGTTTTCTGTCATGTTCATGGGAAAGACTGTGCTGTACCCCATACAGCCAGGTCCTTTGGTTTAGAATACAGCTCTCAAGAAGGTTGTTCCACTGCTCGGACGAACTGGCTTCCTTGTCCACCTGATGGATCTGCTCCAGTCCAGTGAACACTATAAAGGACTGTCACCATGTTACCTGGGTTTTGTGAAATTCAAAGCCAAAATACCTGTATGGAACAGCTCAGGTGAAGAAAAAAAAGTATTTTCTACAAATGAAACTCGATCATTGAAAAACAAGATGCTTCCTCAGGTCTGAAAATCAGGTTGGCTAAAACAGTGGAATCCTTTCCATTTCATGCTGGCTTAAAGACAAAGAAGATAGGTAGAAATATCTATTTTCCCCAGAAGTTTAGATAAGCCTTAGCTCAAGGAAAAAATGTTTGCAAGAAGCTGGCAGCAGCTGTGGGAGGCATATCAATACAGATAAAATAAATCAGTCATGGAGCACACAAAGGTAAAGCAAGGAACAACAGCATGTAAAAAGTAGTCTGTATTGGTGCTTTGCTTGGATAGATTAATTTATCCTTACTCAGCAGATGAACTGGCAGGACTATGCACCAAGATTGTACTAGCTGTCCTTCATCTGAAGTAAAACTATCAAAGATTTTTATTCTAGAAGGATCAAAACTCCTCTGAATACCAAAATACAAGTATGACCTAGTTTACTTTATCCAGGAACTACCAAATAGAAAAGCCTCTTTCAGCTGTGGCAGTACCAGAGAATTGGGGTAAAAACCCTGTACTAAATAAGCTAAATCTGTTCATCACAAGAAGAAAATCTGCTGGAATTAAATGTGATTAGATGATTTTGGTGTGCCTGTTCCATCAGCTCTATTACTTACTTGCACATGTGCCATCTGGCATAAGCATGTACCCGTTGAGACAATAGCACTTGTAGCTGCCATGTGTATTCATACATCTGTGCTCACAAGGACGTGGCTTCAGTCCACATTCGTTCAGATCTGCAGAAGTCATTGGAATTAAATGAGTGCTGGGTTTCTATACATATATTCATACATATAGGTGGATAATATTGCCTAATGCATTGGATTCCCCAGAGTAAAATCGTTTGGATGGAAAATGAGCCAGCCCCTTGCAAAATGAGAGTTTAGCAGACCATCTGGCTGAAAGACTGCTAGTAAAACCAACATACACAGACTTATACACTTGAAAAACTAATGCAAACTCTGGCCACATCTGGCAGCTTGTTAGGAAGAAGTGTAGTGGTGGAGAGAGTATTTAGTTACTCTCTTTTGGGGAGTTATTTGTCTGGATTTCTCTGATTCTAGCTGGAGATTTTAGCCCTCCCGCTGACCTCTGTACTAGAAAGGCAAAAATGAGACTGAGAACAGCAAATGAGTTTAAGTGAAACAAAGACTTTTACTTTTTCTGAGCTACACATTGGCACCAAGGTTATCAGTAGCAGAAATTAATACAATAAATAAATACAATAAAATTAAATACAATATATGATAAGACCAATCTCAAAAATCTCAAAATCCTGAGAATGAAAGCATCCTAAATCTTTCTCAAAATCCAAGATGTAAAGACTTTGCAGAAACTAACTCAATTTCAAATTTCCAATAGCTATTCTTCACAGGGAGAAAATGAGAATTCCAAAAAGTTTAATTTGTGCAGTATAGGGTGAGCAGTGTTCACAATAATATTTGGCCTATGGCAAGGGGACAAAAATCTCTGTTTGTGACTTCTGTGAGCTGACATCTCTACCTCTTCTAGTGATGAGGAAACAGGCAGAATGCATTAACAGAATGCACCAGCATATGCAGCCCTTTCAACATGTGCTGTGTTAAACAGAGCATAGGACCAATAATATATCTTCAGTAAAGATGCAGCTCTCCAGGCAAGCACTGAGTCTGTGTAGCTCCACTTCTAATGGGAGAAGTATCTGTTCTCATGCCTATGTACCCTGCAGACCACAGGGTCAGCCATTCGAAGCATAAACTTTGTGGAGGTGCAGAAGTGTTTGTTACAGCTCAGTCCAGGGAAGAAAAAGGTTTTCTATTTCTAAAAGACATTCTATTATTTAAATGTAGGGTGTGTTTGGAAAAGGGCAACCTATCTTCTTGCAAATCACCCTGGATTTTTGTGCTACTGTGGCTCCACTAAATAATCAAGACCCTCTTAACAAAGCAACTAGGGAGCAAACTGGAGAACAAAAGTTATTCTACTTATGCCATACGTTTTCAAAAGTGCTTATCTGCACCTATCTCACACAATGCACTGACAGCATACACAGCTCTAAAAAAAACCCTATGGAGATAAGGCTAATTTGGCTCAGACTTGGTGGCAGACTAATACAGTCCCCTTATCTCTGTTATTTTAGTTAGCTCATGTTAAGCTTGCTCAGCAGGGCATTCTGTGTAAGGACAGACCAAAGCTACATCTCCAGTAAACTAAAAGTGGGTATGAGCATTCCTAGCTGCTGGAACATGACCACCTAAATGGCTATACTGTTGAAACAGCTCTTGGAGACTCTGGGAGACTTCTGGCCTGTGCCAGCAACCACTTTACTGAAAAAATCCTGGCTGTGCTTCAGAAGGTAGAAGAGCCCAGGGTCTGAGAGGCGATTTGCACATGGGGGTCTCTGTGGTGCTTCCACCATGCCTCAGACTCTGAACCTACTGCAAGTGGCACAGAACTGATCTGATTGCCTACAGAGCACATTTCAAATGCAGATGGAGTTACTGCACAGAAAAAAAACTAAAAACTGGGGGCTTCTCTGTTGCTTTTTGGTAACTTTTAAGCTGCCAAAAATTTTTGAGGTTAAACTTCTGGGTTTAAAGGCAGAAATTGTAAGTAATACCTACATAACTGTTACATGTAACCACAGTTGCTCTTTCCCTTTCCTCTCTAGTGGTACTAAGGAATTAACTTCTTTCCCTGTGAAAAACACCAAAAGTGCAAAAGATGGAGTTTTCTAAAATACTTAACAATATAGCTTTATGATATATTGTTTGAAATATACTGTGTAATAAATGGGTTGTTTTAACTATAAAAAAAGTGTGTTTAGCACATCAATGCAAAATTTTCAGTCAAAGGCTGCAGGAGCTTGGTAAGGTAGCAAGTACCTGCAGTTCACTCATCTGTGCTGCAGTAGGATGGACCTGCTCCTTTCATCTGATCCAACACAGGGGTCTCATATATTGGAACAGGAAAAAAAAATTGAATTCTTACCTATGTGTTAACTGAAATATTTCCATGTTGAATTGCAAGTTTATGGAGGGAAAGTGGTGCATTTAAAGTTTCTGAAAATGCAATTCTAAAGACTCCCAATTCTGGTTCTCAGAAATACCATTCAGCATCTGCAAACAGCCCAGACAGCTTGATAAATTACATGTCTAGCATATAATTGCATGTCTTTCTGATTAGAAGGTTAGTTAAAAAAGAAACATGGATTGCTAGTTAAGAAAATACAATGGGTTCTGGAATTGACTGCCATCTCTTCTGATACTTTCCTATGTAATCTCTCCATGCCTTAATCCTCTGACTATAAACATGCCAGTTTGCCCTTGTCATCAGCCCATAGGACATACACAATATGGGTTCAAACTTCTGTTTGCTGAAGGAGACTTAGGGCTTGCCTGGGATGCTAGAGATGTAAGAGCCTTAAACTCTTAAGTTCTTCTACGTAAACATGAAAATATCCTGGTTTACTGTCTTGGAAGATGACACAAACCATAGTACAAGATAAGGAGACAGAAAATCAACAGTGCTTTCTGGAGCATATGCACTAACCTTGATTACAGGTTTTCCCTGTAAATCCAGGGAAACATTTGCATTTGTTTGGTCCCATGCACTCCCCATACTTGCAACCATGTCCACAGGTAGCTGGTGGAGTCAGGCAGAGAAAGGAGAGAGAAAAAGTTAGAAATATTCTATTTGAAAACTTTTGCCCTGCTTAGTTGCCTAAAAACTTTTTGCATAAGTTCAGCATCCTCCATACCTCTCCCTCTAGTCTGAGCATGGTAGCTACTGATCAGCACTTTCTATCTGCTTGAGAATAGTGATGCTAACATAAATTAAAAGAGTTTGTTTTTTTCCAGGTTTATAAAGACCTGGAAAAGAAGGGATTACTTTTAGGTCTCTCTCTCATACTTTTTCTGCCATGCTTACAACTCATATTTAATAGTTTTGTACTCTTGCATTTTTCCTGTTTTTAAGAAGCCTATGTGAGAAGCAGCTGGCCAGCAGTTTGACTTGCTAGACTTGGCATCTAGAGTAGGAAAGCGGCAACAAGACTCTCCTGCAGCCAAAGGAGACACATTATACTACAGCAGTTTTACAGTCTTGGACCTTCTGAGTTACAGCTGAGGAACGTGTCTATTCCATAGTGGAACATCCAGAGCACATCTGTCATGAGGCAACTGTCCTTACCACACATCCCAATAAGTATAATTGCATCAGGTTTACAATAATTTGAGAGGGCTATGCTTAACCTGGATGGATTAAAAAGTAAAATTTTCTAACTCTCAGCCCTCTAGATCATCAATCAGAAATTAAACTGACTTTTATAAGGCTTATAAGGCTCTTAAAGTCAATATGATTGTCAACATGGGGGTTATGCAGGAAGAGCAAACAAGACATGCATTTAAATCAGGACTAGCTCTGTAAAAACAGTGAAAAAGTATGCACCAGGATGCACATCTCGATACCTTGTGTAATTAAGCTGATCTGCAAACTATAGGAAAGTCACAGTGTTAATTACTATATAGTAAAACGAATAATTAAAATTCATACTTCTGATTTCAAGTATCTTCCCTACATTTACAGAGGCATTCAGATGTACTGATCCACTAACTCCACAGACTGAGGCATTTTTCAACACTATTTCTATCCCTGAAGGCAACATGACACACTGCAAGACCAGCTTGTTCCCCTGGGATCCCATGCATCCTTGCTTGGCATGGTCTCCCGTGGGATGGACACATTCCGCAGCTGTAACTGAGGAGATCCAAGACTGGAAAAGAGCAGCTTGCAGTGTTAGCACTGAAGCAGAGAACACTGCATCTGGATTTACAATGCGGAATTACATTATAGGTGGCTTAAAGTAATTTGCCAAAGAGGAGTCTTCAAAGTTTATGAAAACCTATTGCTTTAAAACAAGACAACCTACTCCACTGGCTGATCAGAGCTGTATTTGTCACCTGTCCCTCTAGCTATTCATTTGCATCAAAACTAAGGTGTTATTAAGCAATGCAGAAATATGAAAATAATCCCTTTTTTCTTTTTTAAAATGATGTTTTATATATATAAAACAGAGACATTTTATGATTTTCAGCAGTGAATAACCCTAAGCCTCTATACAAATTCACCAGATACAAAATGCCAAACCCTCTGGGACAACAGGTGCAACATCTGAAAAAGATTTCTAAAACATATATTTTATGATTTTGTTGTGTTTTGCACAAGTACAGTTGAAGAGAAAGATTCCACATTGCCTTCTCCTTGGGATCTGTAGACCTTTTACAAATTAGAAATGTCTTAAGAGCCATTGTCTCTTCATTAAGCCAATGATCCTCAGACCAGAACGCTGGCTGGCTACCCAAGCTCGGGTGCACTTATTTCTTGAGTTTTATTTATGTTTTCAGAAAGTTAAAACCTCCCGGTTCTCAGAGGCTGTGTACTCTGAAGAGAAAGGATACCAACTGACAGAAAACTATTTTAGGGGTCCTTACGTAGCATTGGAAAACACTGTGGTTTTAGCACATTCTCAACAGCTGTAAGAGTATAGGCACTGACCAGGGCTGTGCAGGAGATTGGAACAGACGGTCCCTTCTGGATCTAAGAATCTCTGCATATGCAGTTGATGGCTTTTTATTAGTTACCCAAAGCTCTGGGTTTTTTTAGGAGATGGTCTTTCAAATATGTTTTATTCACTTTCACAGAGTTAAGAAATTTCACTCCTCAGAAGGTTTCTTTCTGTAACTTCTGGCAGACATATATGAAACCCCTTTATCAGTACCAAGTACACAGCCATGGAGAGGACACAAGCATAAAGTTAATGTTACCTTCACAGTGGCCCTTGTTCTTTTTCCAGCCATAACAGCAATCCAACCTGGAACCATAGCGACACACCCCAGGCTGGCTCACAGCCACCAGCTGCCCACGAGCTCTCAAGCTGCATAAGGAAGGACAAACAGCAGCTTCATCAGGCAAACGCACTTTAGTTCATTCCTCTGTGTACTCCATTGCACATTTCTCTTATGTTTTATCCCCTGTCAGGCATTTTCATTTCACAAAACCTAGAGCAGTGTTCCTAGAGAGGAATGCAAAGTCACATTTGATAGGAGAAACAGGGGAGCTGGGAACGTTTCACCTGCAATAAATTAACTGTGCAACATAAACCCTTTCTAATAAGAAACATGGCAAAGGCAAAAAATACAGCCAGGTCCCCTGCTAGTATGAGTCATTTTTAATATCAGCGAAGTCAATGGGGCTGCCTCAGTTTGTGCCACATGAACAACCTGGATCGAATATACGATGCCACACCTGACAGCGCTTTTGCTTTGGATGATGAAATATTGATTCTACAGAAATGCATGTTCTGAACATCAGGCAGCCCCATAAAAGATAGTGACTTGCAGGTCATAGTCACTGCACACATACAAATTGATTGCATAAGTGCAGACAGTCTTGAGCGTTCTGGTTGCACGGGGCTGCCTGACCATAGTGTTGATTTCACCTGCCGATAAGCCAAGGGAGTTCAAAGTCACTGCAGATCAACAACTGCAAGAGTTGGAAAACCTGTCATGTTAGTTGCCAAAATCATACATCTAATGCAATTCCACAACTGTGTAAATCTTCTAGACCTACTCTGTGCTGCAACTAGTACTGTGGATTTAGTTGTCTTCTCCCTCTGTTTGCTGTGCTTAAGTTCTCCGATACCACATGCCTGTCCCCTTCCTGAAATTCCTTTTCCAAAATCCTGTGTCCTCACTGCTTTTTCCAATCCATAATTTAAAATGTGCATTCTTCAAAGAGTCCAAAGTGTTGGTTTTGACACAGAATACACCTTAATGGTGGCAGCTTTATAGTAAGTGATTTGAGGTACTGAGGGGGCAATACACAACAAAAAATATCTCATGGTGGGAAAAAGAAAGATGAAGAAAAGTAATCAGGCATGAACTTTTGCATTTTTTAGTCTGAGGCACAGTAAAGCCATTGCTTTATCACATTACAGCAGCGCTTTGCACTTATCCAGTGCTTATCTGTAAGGGTTGCACTCATATCAGAACCGTTACTGTAAACATCACTGAGGCAAACTAATAAAATATATGCATACACTTCAAAGTACAATATGTTACACCAGCATTTTGTTTAGTAGCTGAACCATTGAAAAGAGAAGGGAGTTCAGAGGAAATGCACAAGCTCATGTACCTGAGATACTCTGAATGAAGAGATGGTCTTCATGTCACGGGACAAGTAAAAAAGCCTCAGTGTTGGACTAAATTGTTCTGAAGTCATCCAACCTTTGCCATCAACCCAGTGATGCAGTTTACAGGAGAACACGCACCTCATCTTCAGACAGGTGAAAAAGTGTATTAAATAGCTATAACTCCTCTATGTGCATCTGTGAGAAATCAGCACCCTGCCTCTGCATATATAGACAAAAAAATAACTTTTTTCCATTTTGTTCATCCAAATGCTGCCGGCTTAAATCACTTGCAAGTATACAAGTTAAAGAACATATGTTCTGTTTGCAGGCTAGAAAGTGCCCTTGAATTTACCTGAATAGTAAATGTACATTCTGCTTCCATCCCAGAAAATCCTCTGAAATGCATCTGGATAGTGCTATGACTCCCCTGAAAGGTTAAAATGCCTAAAGCTTGGAGCAAGAAGGATCTCATTCCTTTCCAAAAGGTGCTCATTTTCACAGGAAAAAACTTCATTCGGTAATGTTTTATTTAGTAATTCACTTCAAAATCAAATGACAGTGTCTCTATATGTATGGCCAGTCTTCGCGAGCGAAGATTTGGGAAAGGTCATTAACCCTTGGAGCCTGCGCAGTGGATTTTTTAGGTGAGACACAGCGTGCGCTGAACTGAACCCACCCTTTAATCCTGAGGTTCATCTGCCGGGGCCGAGCAAGCTTGGACAGTGGCAGTGAGGAAGCTTGGACAGTGGCAGTGAGGATCTCAGGACGTAGGTTTGTTTAGAGTGACCTTCTCTTAGATGGATTGCCTTACAGGGCTGACGAGCTCTATCTGCCCGGGGGCTGGGAATCGAACCTGGGTCGCAGCGGTGAGAGTGCAGCACCCTAACCACTAGACCACCAGGGGCCCCTAGTGTCTCTATAAAGTATACAATATATCTCAAGATTTCAGCACAAACTTCTCTTAAAACTGGGAAATGTTTCCTAAAACTGCAAATGAAATTAACATAGCAGTACTCTATAGATACCACCCTGGACAAGGTCTTTCTTGTGTTCTGATTTTCACAGCAAGCGCCAAGTTAAAACTTACCTTTGGCAGTGGGAAAGATCAACTAGACTATTGAGAGCCCACCTGGATCCCAAAATCTTGGAGGAAAACCAGTTTTGCCAGCTTAGTCCCTCTAAACCATGAAGAATCAACATCCGTCAGCTCTGCCATTACTGTCAGGAGTTCAGTATTTTGTGCAAAAGAAAGAAATTTAGAAAGAGGAGATTCTTTCAGGCAGGCAGATCCTTTCTGGTAGAAAGGATTCACATCCCTTCTGGATATTGGGGGAGAAGTAATGTAGACTGGAAGCACAGGGCACTTCTGATCCCTCCCTGCAAGATATTCTTGTAGGATTTCAGAGACCTGAGCGTGATGGCTGGGCTTGTCACTGTCTACTCAGTGTGCAAAAAATTCCTGGCCTTGAAGAACCTGCAGCCCAAATACACAACTCAAGAAGAAGGGCAAGAGAAGGTAGACTGTGCAGGTCAGTGGCAAGAGTGGTCTCTGAATTTCTAGCGAAGAACTCTGTCCTCTGAGAGTCAGCAGCTTACAGCACTGGTGCTAAAGGTAGCAAGTGGCATACTTAGCTGTCCAGAGTGCCCAGGCAGGAGAGATTTTATATGGCTCTGTTGCTGCTGACATCAGTAGGGTGGTATTTAGCAAAGAACAGTGAAGATGAATAGCAACTACAGCAATCCAAGGCCTCCTTGTTTGAGGTGACAGAAAGCTGGCTGCATTATTTATCGCAAGATTGCTGTGAGCCCCTAGCACCATTATAAACTAAGTGGGACCCTCAGGTGTTTCAGTTAAAATTCTAGGAAAGGTTTACTGCTGCTGTACCAGGCTGTATTGTTGTGGTTTAGCAATGGTAGTCCCCAATTCAGGGCCCCCACTGAGACTCTCCAAACCCGTTTTCTCCTCCTGCTTCCCACTGCGGTGGGATGGAGTTGAGAATTGGAGGCACAAAAGGTAAAGATCATGGATTGAGATAAGAACCACTTTCTGGAAACAGCAATGAGATAAGAAAACAAACCGTAACAACAAAAATACTAATGACAGAGGGTATAAGAAAAGAAACTATGCACATGAAAAAAACTCCAATATGGGATGACTCCCTCTACAATGTTTCCTTGACTGGAAGGAACCCCTCATGCCTGGAAGACAGTCCCTTTTCTCCACCTCCAGCAATGATGTGAGGTGGTATAGAATAACACCTGTGTCCTGGCCATGCCCCCTCCTTGCTACTGTCAAATATTAATCCTGTCCTGGCTGGAATCAGGATGATTGTGTACAGTTCTTAACATGGTGAAGCATTTGAATTATATATGGTATATATGATAAGAAAAGCTATGAAGAATGGTCTATTTACAGAGGATGATAAGAACTTGGCTTCAGTTGAACAAACCAAAAGCTGAGAAAAAAATCTAATTGCTTCCTACTGCATGCCAGGCATCTCCAAAAGAGAGAGAGAAGAGCTCATTAAGATAAAGACTAATTTGTAACCATTTACTCTTGCGCTACCATCCTTTAATACTCTGAGGGGAAAACGGGAATATGAACGCCACAAGAAGGGTAAGAGAACTGAAGATCTTTGAAGAACCAGGAGAAAAACTCCTCCCTAATTTTAAGATACATAGTCTCTTTCACAGACTAAGACCTAACGTTGCCTGTAGTGACACAAACATAGGCATGAATGTTGTTCCTCTTTGAAGTAATATGAAGATTTTGAATCCTATCCCAAAAAACATCAGACCAATTCAGAGCAAAACATCCAGATACTGGCCAGGATCAAGTGAGTATGTAACTTTATTCCTAGAGTGGTGTGAGGAACAGACAAAATAAATTGAATGTGTGATGTGAGGACAGATGTTAAGCTGCTACAGAGGACCTTTGACTTCTTACAGTGATTTACTAAATTTGGTGTTAAAAAAGAAGAAAATGTATTTACAATAGCACGTATTCAGAAAGTTCACCTGCTCCACTTATCAATTGTCTAGGTAGACTTTTTAGCAGAGCAAAGTTGATTGATAGGGTAGGACGGATATCCCTTATACCCCCAATAGCTTAAATACACAAACAATTGCAAAGAAAAATATTATAAGTACAATAAAAGGTGAAAAGAGGGGACTAAAGCACACCTAAATGTTGGGACTTGCTTGTCCAAAAGAATCTTCCTACTACTCCTACCCCTCTTTATTGTTGTTTCATTCCATAAAATAAGGATATAGTTTTACATTGCATCATTTTCTCAAAATTAGTTCATGACCTAGGCCAAATCCAAGCCACTAAAAGTGTCTGCATACCAATGGGCAGTCAAAATTTCAAATATAATAACAGGGCTGTTAACTGTGCTGGACTACAAATTTCATTAGCAGCCATTTTACCCATAACAGCTAAAATAAAAAGAAGTAAAGACCTCAACACTGAAAAAAAGATACTTGTCATGTTCTCCTGACCAGTGATCATTTGCAGTGTAAGCCCTGCCTGAACTGAGTGATGCGACAGTAGGAGCTGCAGAGGATGAGCAAGCAAATCTTCAGAAGCCTAACTTAACCAGGTAGGTAGATAACAAAGTTAGTTTGAGTTAATATAGTCCTATTAATATTGTCTTTTACTAAAGTTTTATCTAGGAAGGAGCATTTATGAGTTTTTACTTTTTTTTTTTTTTAACAGCTGCTGAATGGATTAATGCACTGTTTCCATAAGACCTCTACAGAACACTTTTGGTCAGCTCTTGTGCACACAATAGCTGCCTGCTGCTGGCAGGGTGTGGGGGCAAACGTCTCCATTCCATTATTGTCAGCTTCCAGTTAACTCAAAGGCAGGATGTGATCCCTTTCTTTAACGTTCCTCTAAAAATATTTCTGGACATTGTTGCTAGCAAAAACTATCAGCAAACCTAAAATTTTGATCAACTGTTGTATTCAGAAGAACAAAAAGATGGTATTTCAGAAATTAGTAATTTGAAAAAGATTCCTTAAAACTCTGAGTGTATGCAATACAGAGGTATATTTGAACACTGTGCAAAATAAAGGCATGAGGTGTTTTCTCTGCGTTGGTTGTTTGGTCGGGTTTTTGGAGTTTTGTTGGTTTGTCTGTTTTCACAAAAGTTTATTTGAGGGGTGACTTCCTTCTAGGAAAAAAGTTCACCTATATTCATATTAAATAAAATGAAAAGTGTGTCACCTTATATCTTTTAATAACCGTGTCTTAGGTAACCCTTCAGCCAGTTTCAGGCACTCAACATGACAACAGTCTTGCTTCACTGTGAATCCCTCCCAAAAGAATAAATGAAGTTTAGCTTGGGCTTGCAGAATTTTCTTCTTTATGGCTTCATGTGCCCACCAAACTCATTAAAAGAAGTGCTTAGAGCAGAGAAATTAAAAGTCCAGGTATGAAAGCTACACTTCTAAGAGACATAAATAACCATAATTAAATCAGTCTTTCAAAACTGAATCTGATTTTTACTGTTTCCTTTTCCTTCTTAACCATTCAGAGACAGATAGGATCCTCTTAAATTAGGATCCCTTGTCATCCAAAGCTTCCATCAATATGTTTGAAAATCTTTTTTCCCCACTTTCTTTCAATGGAAATGATAGAGTGACAATCTTGGTAGAACTGCGAGATGCCATTACCACCCAACACCAACTTGGACAGGACAGGGTATAGAGCAGTCAGTTATAGGCAGGTTGTGCCTTTCCCATAGGTTTCTTGACTTAATGTGAAACAACGATTTTTATCAAACATATCACTCTTGGCTTTAGTTAACTCCAGGCCATATTTTCTTCTAGAAAGAGATAACATCCTTATTTTGTGGTTTTACATCTTTCTAAGTACTTGGAATGCAAGTACACATGAAAAATGACCAACAAACACAGGCATTTAAACAGAGCTCTGCTTCGACAGCAAATTTGTTTTGTCGAAGATATACAAGCAAGTCTGGAGTTTGTAAACTTCCAGTTACTGGGGAGCTGACCACTCGACAGCCCCACATGTTCTGGAACAGCACACTGCCACTGGCTGATGACAAACGTTCCCATTCACAGATCTGATACTAAATAAATAAACCACACAACATCTTGAAGGCTTCACCCGCAGTTGCTGTGAATTTCCCCTTTATGAGCTACTCCCTTGCTGCAGCACTTGTGCTGCTGGAGAACTGGGAGGGGGAACACTAGAATGGCTTGATCAGGAGTAAGTGGCTTTATTGATCCTCTCTCAAAATCTCATTCTGTTTCCAGAGCGTACCTGTCTCTGCAGAACCTAAAACATTGTGATGGCTGGATGATTGTGAAGCGCCTGTTTATCCAAGCAGATCAAGAACTGGAGCAGCTCACACCTTTCTACAGGTGGTGCAGCTGCTCCCACCATTTGGACCGTCACTGACGCTGCCGTTTGTCCCGAAGCAGAAGAGCCCCAGCTCTGGTGTGAGCTCCGCTGAGCCCCTCGGGGAAGCGGCGCACACGCATCAGGAGGGTCCGAGCCGGGCGGGTGCTGTTCAGCACCACGGCCCCGGCGACCGGCCGGGAGAGCCCAGCGGACACGGGCGCGGGAGGGACTCTCCAGCACCCACACCCGCGGGCGGGCACGGCACGGAGGAGGAGCGGGACCCAGCCCTAGCCTGGTCGGACCCCCGAACTCTCCCGCCCTCTCCCAGCCCGCCGTCCCCCCTCACCTGCCCACGGCGGCCAGCCCGGCGGCGAGCAGGGCGGCGAGCAGGGCGCTCCCGGGCGCCGGCACCATCGCCCGGGCGCGGGCGGCCCCCGGCGGTGTCTGTCTGTCCTCGTTGGCCGGGCGGCAGCGCCGGAGCGCGGGTGGGCGGCGGGACGGGCCCCTATAACCGGGCGGGGCGGGGCGGACCCGCCTCCGGCCGCGCTCCCCCCGCGCGTCCCGGGACGGGGCGGGCAGGGACCCCCGGCTCGCCGGGCGCGGAGCCACGGCGGTGTCCCTCTGGGAGAGCCGGAGGGCAAGCTGCCCCACAGGGCCGGGCGCGGAGCCACGGCGGTGTCCCTCTGGGATAGCCGTGTCGCTCCGGCCCGAAACCGGTCGCTGCTGCAGGCTCACTTCGTTCCACAGCCGGCGTGTCCCGCGGGCTCTGCCTCCGCGGGCTCCCGCTGTCCCCCGTGGCACCGTCGCGATGGACTTCTGTCACTGGGAAACGGCATTTGCATTGAAAGGTTTCCAGGCTTTGCTTTTCAGTCGCAGGACCATCTCTGACCAAACTTTGTTTAAGCTGCTAAAGAAAGTGCTTGGATATTAGGAAAAAGTTCTTAACTAAAAGAGTGGTCAGGAATTGGAACAGTCTGCCCAGTGGAATCGCTATCCCTGGAAGTGTCTGAAAAACGTTTAGATGTGGTGCCTAGGGACATGGTTACTGGTGGACTTGGCAGTGTCAGTTTAAAGGTTGGACTCGGTGACCTTGGAGTCTTTTCCAACCTAAACGATTCTGTGATTCTAAGTTGTTATTTAAGCTGTGTATGCTCACTGGTGACATTTTTTCTCGATAGCTAGTCCTTTGGCTTTGGTGCTGCTGCCACTGCACGTAAACTGCTTCACACCTGATATATTCTTCTAGAATAATGCTTGCACTTCGGGGGTGCTGGGTTTTGTATTAGGGTTCTTCTCAAGATTAACTAATAACTCTATCTTTTTGTAATGACGTTTAAGCTGTGACTGATGTTTGCCAGCAAATTAAAAATGTTTCAGCTTTTCTTCTCTCATTTTTGCCATAGGAATGGGAATGTCCAGAAAACCTGGGATGGCAACTGTTTTAGTCACTCCAACTTAATCCTCTGCTGAGTAATATCAACACCTATATTCAAGAGAGGTATATAAAGCAAAAGTGTCTATTTGGGTCAGTCTAAAATCTCTGCTAATAAGGTTTTCCAGGAGCTTCCACAATGCTTGTATCAAAACATTTTGAACAAGGTAACTTTCTAAGGATCCTAAAACAGATATTTTACTGAATTGCTCATCTACTCTTGGCTTTGAGCCTCTGCCAGGCTGTTGTCATCCACTGCTGATTTCTTTAGACTCCTGAAATTACAGATGTTCCCCCAAAGTAGGTTTAAGTCACCTTGTAGAGTGGAGCAGAGGTATCAAAAGATGGCAAATTTAGTCCCACGATTCAAATGACATCAAATTAAAATTAATCTAATTAAAAGAAACAAACCTGTGCAATGCTGATTGTGTGTTGTGCAGGATGGTAGAGACACCTTTTTTTTCTGGATGCTGGATGCAAAAGCCATTGTTGGTTTTCAGCTGTTCTGCTGTCTTTCTGAAATGCAGAAATGCAGCAGCACCTTGAGACTCTTTAACTCTCTTCATTAGACTTGTCTTCCTATATGGGAGGAGTAGTCTTGATTTTAGCTAAGTCTGTGCCATGTAGAAAGCATTCTAATTACTTAAAACTATACTCAAAGATTTGCAGTTTTATTATGCACATTTACTCCAACAAATAGATATGAATGAATAATTTGATGCTAGGCTTGCCGTTAAAATAGTGATCAGTGTTCAAGACAAGTTTTATTGGTCAAAAGACAATTAGTTTCTGAATTGTGGTGCATGTAGTCTGTTATGAGCTATAATTATTTCCTCAAAAATCTTTGTTTTTTTATGAAGAGTGACTTGTGGATAAATAATAAAATTATTATCTGAAACTGTATCCTTCCTTTAGAACAGTAATTAGAGAAACAAGAGCAATGGATTTAATGGAGCATATTTGTATGTGCTAGGATATTCATATTTGCACTCTTCAGAACCTCTAGCCTGCAAGATACCTGACATCCCCTTGTCATGGAGTTTTGCTGTATGATTCCCAAGGTGAGAAGTTTTCAAGTCTCAGGTCACGATTCATCCCTGAAAAGATGGGACAGAGTGAGACAGGACACATATACTCACACTTACCATGTTAATTTGGTTTTGTTTTAACCACCCAGAAAGTTATATGTATCTTTTTCCACAGAAGATGTCAGGACTTCACCTATAACCTCACTTGGTTATAATAAGAATTAAAATTGTGGGAAATCAGCCTGAGCCACAGCATGTAAATCATGATGTCCATTGGAGTTTAAACATGCTGCTCTGCCACCAGGACATGAAGATTTATTAGAACTCTAGAGGAATTTCAGTCTCACGCCTGACACCCTTTCCTCTTCATTAACATTCCTTGGCCATCTAAATAATATTTTTTTCATTTTTATCAATACTGCAGTTTTGCACTAGTAAATCTGCATTGATTTGATAGTAGCAAATTTTAATAGAATAACCTCTTATTCACACCTCTTCAGAGGAGAGGAAAAATTCCTTGGCAGGGCTCAAGGGAATACACTGGCTTTCTGGGCTGGTCCCAGAGGTCAGCATGATCTCCCCCATGGTCTGTCAGCCCTGGTGGTCCCTGCTAAGTAGTATTTCACATTGCCTGCTGGAATGGGACTAGCCCTGGGTCTCCCCCATTCCCTGTGATTTATTAGGGAAATGTTTATTGAGACTGCAGTCATGGTTGTCTCCTAAATGAAAGCTAATGGGCAGTTTTTGGACCAATCTCCCAGTCTTGCTCTGAGCTCTCACAGGGGCTCTTTCATATCAAGCTGATGTAAGAGTGGCCTGTGGCTTCTAGAGTCATATATAACATGTCTTACAGGAATCTCCCTCAGCTTTTAGGATAACCTGTTCTGTCCTTCATACAATCCTGGCAATTAAGACCTTAGGTCTCCTCAAGCAGTTCAGTCGCCTCATGGCGTATTTTGCAAAGTGCTGGGAAATACACCAAATTCATATTTGCTTAGGTTTTTCCTACTTTTCCCACTTGCTACTTCCTCTCTGACAGTTACTGTGGAACTGCTCTATAGACTCACGGATCCTGGAGCTTCCATGCAGGGGAGGAGATTCAGTCTCTAAGCACGATGGAGGTACACAAAGTACAGGCCCTGGCACAACTCTCGCTGTACCATGATTTAATATGTTTTTTTTCTCTGAGGCAGTAGCTCTCATACTCAAAGGGATGGAAGAAAGGGTGGAGGGAAGATGGCTTGTGAGGTTATGGAAGAGCTGAACTAGGTTTGCCCCTTTCTTTCCCACACTTTGAGTATGCTTTCTCCATAGAAAGGAAAGGGTTGCATTTTTAAATTAAACCTTGAGCTCTGAAAAGTGCTGCATGTCCCATGTGAAGAACCCAACACCAAGTATCTAATACATAATGCCCCCCATATGAGCCCTTGTTTCCCACCTGACCAATTATAATTGATACCTGTGCAATCCATGTGTGCGTCAGGGATTGCCATTTCCAGCAGTTTTATGAATGAATGTAATAGAAGATCACTGTGTGGGTTTCACCGAGGAATTTTATAAGTATAACTTCCTGGGTTTTGATGTGATTTTCCTTAGTTTCAGGTCTCCTGCCAAGAAGATTTAGACTTTTTTTCCTTCATATTATTTCTCTACATACTAACACACAAATCTTTCACTGCTTGACTACATTAGCCTGTAACAAAAATAATTCAGTCACTGTTGATCCTCTTATATATAACACTTTCCATATGGTGGTCCAATAACATGGCACCTCAGTAGTTTTTTGGTTTTTTTCTGTTAGAAAAAATGCTGTAACACAGTGATTTTAAAGTTTGTTCAGCAATACTATGTTTAAAAAAATGTAAATTTTGTGTAATCTATACCTTTATTTTGACATATATTTTGACACAAGTGTTAAATGTTAATTGACTGTCCTGTCATTCAGTGCTTTGGAGCTTTAAGCTTTAACAGTTTGTCCTTTTTTTTTGAATCATCAAAATGTAACAGGTCAGCACATGGAAAGAGAATGAAAAAAACTCAGGATAGAGCCAGGTAGGGCTGGACTGAATTTATCATGGGTCCACAGTTGCTACTTTTCAGCTTTTGCTATTTCTGCTACCTTTAGAGATTTCTGTTTTACTTGGATTCTCAAGATATACCCTCATTTGTTCTCCTCGAGCATCTCAGTACTGGCATGCTCAGTAACAATGCAGAAACCTTAGTGGGGAAGCACAGACTGTAACCCATTTAACAGGTGTGACTTCATAGAACTAATTGAGGAAGGAGACTAGCAATCTGAAAGTCATAGGTCTGACATTTGATCTAATTTTTAAAAACTCTGAACTATTGGATTAAATTAAACAATTCTAGGGATTTTCATGAAAATCCATAGTGACACAACTTTGTTATTACTTTCACTGTTACCATTTAACATTTTCAGTTGCACTACTGCTTAAAACCCACAGTCACCTGTAAGGTGTTTTATAAATTCTATTATAGGAAATACTCTTTATCTTATTCATAGTAATTAAAAAGTTTAAATTATAAGACATATTTAAGATCAGTACTAAATCTTCTTTTTCTCTTATTAAGAGAATTAAACTTTCTCTTCAGATAAGAGGTATGGAAAACTCTTTTAAAAATAAAAGTGACATCTTAGGGAAATTGTCAGTGGTCATGAACACCTGGGATTACAGGAGTGAGAACTGGGCAACTGGGCTCTGCACTTACAGGAAAAAGCAAAGGGTCTAAAGACTCTTGTCTGCCTTCATTTTTCTAGATCTTACCAATGTTTGTAAGTGTCTGAAGGGAGGGTATCAAGAGGATGGAGTCAGGCTCTTTTCAGTGGTGCTGAGCAATAGGACGAGACAACTGGCAGGAACTAATGCACAGGAAGTTCCACCTGAACATGAGGAAGAACTTCTTTACTGCACAGGTGATCAAGCACCAGAACA